AGGAAAACCTGCAAAAGGACAGAAAGGAAAGGTGTCCTATCCTCTTCCACCCCTTGCAATCTCCCAAGCCGCAAAGAGCAACGCAAGGTGTCCATGTTCCAGGCTGCTTGAAGTACACTTTTTATAGGTTGTGGCTCTCCAGATGTTCTTGGAGTCCATATCCCAATGATTCTCAACCTATAGGTCCCCAGGTGTTTTGGCCTTCAACTCCCAGAAATGCTAACTGCTGGTAAACTGTCTGGGATTTCTGGGAGTTGTAGGCCAAAACACCGGGGGACCCACAGGCTGAGAACCACTGCCATATCCCATCACACCTGGCCAGCATGCCCAACTATCAAGATGATGGGAGCTGGAATCTAACAACATATGAGGGGGGCTGTGTGTGTAGAGCCTTATAAAATGTATATATAATATACCTGCAGTGTTTTAATTCTGCATTGCTACTAAAGGATGTCATTGGCTTGAAAGGCAAAATCTACTCCTTTGCTCAGTCTTGGCACATAGGATGTTGAACACATTTTAGCACTCTTAAATGCAGTTTAAAATTTGGGGTTATCATAAAATGTATTGGGTCGTACCTTTGGACAGTGAATGGCGGGGAGGGTGGGGTGGTAGAGTCTTGGTATACTGGCTCAACTTCTCATATCTAAAATAGAATCTCAATAATCTCTTCAGGGCTTTTCCCAGCAAAGAAAGATTATTCTGCTAATGAAGACTCTGGCTTTTTATGCCTACAGCAACCTGAGACACAGCCTCTGCTCAGATGCACTTTTGAAATTCACAGCCACACTTCTATGCCTATTTTGCAATGCTAGCGCTTAGGCTGTCTGCTTCCATTTATCACAGAAATGACTAATTTGAGTTAGTTGGCATTAGCAGTGTTGGTTTTTTAAGTTCAGAAATTTTCAGGCTAAAAGCGCTACATTATTAATCTGTACAATAAATCAATTATTTCCTTAATTACTAGTTACAAAGTGGATTGTGCACTGGATCTCAATCAGAACTCTTCCATCCCCTGTTCTAATGACATTGCTGTAAACTATTCATGTATATTTCTGGATCAACCAAGAAAAAATATTGCACTCATTATACATCTTCCATAGTAAGTGAATGAGGAAGCATTTTCTGGGTTGTTGTAGGTTTTTCCGGGCTATATGGCCATGTTCTGGAGGCCCCATATAGCCCGGAAAAACCTACAACAACCCAGTGATCCCGGCCATGAAAGCCTTCGACAATACATTGAAGCATTTTCTGTTTTGAAAAGAATTGAGCTGCTAGGTTTTTTTTTTAAGTCAAGATCAAAGTTAACCCACTGCTATTTTGTTATCATTCCATCTTATTATTCTTTTTTTCAAGACTTGAAAAGAGAAAGATTAATCAAAGCATATGCCATAGTATAAACCATTCCATCCAGAAGGAAGGATCTGAAGAGCCCAACTGTAAAGTTACACCTATTCCCCTGTCACCTTCATGACAGGAGCTAACAACTGTGTAGTGAATACCCTGCTTGTAACTTAGATTTTGGTTTTGCAAGTCTCTCCTAGTAGAGGAAAGTTCCTACTGATAAATGAACTTCTGATAATCTCTTTGCATTCATATATTTTGAAAGGCAATTGGGCTGGCTGCAATAGTGGGATTTGTTGGAAAAAAATATGACCCTGTATCTACGGGACCGATACCCAATATATCCTCTCTAGAAGTTTTCTACATCTTCCTGATGATTCTATGTATGTTTCCACCAGAAGTTACCATAGAGTTTCTCTGGAGCACCTAGAGTTGTCTTGGAAGACCTTTCATCTTTTATTAAGATACCTCTCTATGAATTTTCTGTCCTCTAGGGTAACTTCCATTGGAAGTTGTTTCAATAGGGTTTATTACTATCCAACATTTCTGTTTCCATGTAAGTTCAAGAATGCATGCCCCTCAGATATTGGATCATGGGTGTACTATGGGGAGCCTTAATGCTATTTTGCCCTTAGTCCTAGTTGAACAATTACACAGTGGCACATGAAACAAATTCATGGTTTAAGCAGTGGAAATGGTGGAATTGTGGTTGAGACATCAGTCCTACTGGGTGGCTATGAAAATTACTTTCTTTAGTTCACTAGTGAAGAATTGTTAGGTAGTTATGGGATTGGGTGAGACTGGCAGTTCTCTGTGTACTTTGGAAGTGTTATGTAAATTATAAGAAATAATTCTGTAGTTGCATGACAATCTACTTCAAAGTGTGCAAACATAATATCTAAAATCTATAGCAACAATGATATGCATATTAGAGCAAGTACAACAATAAGTACATTTTTCATGAATCCGTAAATATTATTGGAAAGACATTACTAAGACATTTCCTTATGAACATTAACCAAAGTTTAAGAGACAGTTTTGAGCACATGATTACCATTTTAATGTATCTAATGGCGTTTGCAATCCAGCCACTGAACGCACATAAAATTGATGGTAGTGATCACAGAAGATATGGTACAAAACTGAAATGGAATTCCGGCTGAAGAAGTTTAAATTATTCCCAAACCCATACACAGCATCAGTAATATTGTTTCTAAAATTTGTAATGCAGAACCCCTAGCCCTGTAGTTTCTAAGTTCTTCCCAAAAAAGAGAAATAAAGACACGGCCTTTTTAATACATTAAAATGACTTAATAGTCTGCATTTTGTTGTCATGTTCATCTTTCATTTGGTGGGAAACTTGTCCTTGAATTAAAAGATAAGTGATATGCAGAGTTCATTCATAAAATCTGAGCACCCATAACACATGCAATAGCATATTAGCAAGGGAATGACTAATCTAGCTCGTACCTTGCTGTATGTGTGTATATGCCTTCAAGTCACCTGTTGACTTATGGCAACCCCATGAATTTCATAGGCAAACAGTACTTAGAGCTGATGTTGCCAATTCTGTTATCTGAAATGTAGCCTACAGAACTTGGTATTTGTTGGCAGCCTCCCATCCAAATACTAACCAGAGTTGACTGTGTTTCACTTCTGAGATCAGGATCTAGTGCCTTACTATTCTTGACTATTTATATAGTCAAGAATCTACACTCTAAGGGTGTCAGCTGTAATGCCATTGCTGCTCAGTGCTGGAGAAATGGAGCCTCTTTTCAGCATGTTCTGAATCTGGAAACCTAATGAAAAAAACAAGAGTAACCATAAGGGAAAATACATATTGATTTCTTATTATCATGGAGCATGAATTGAATTTACAAATGATCTGAGAAAGGCTCTATAAATAGGTGTGTACATTTTTAACTATTTCATTCTTGCTGAAGAGGAAGTGCAATAGTTTGGAGAAAATAATATTTCTGCCTACCAGAAAACCTTAGCTGCGATCTTGTTAGTCAGTTATGATGTCCTAAATCAGACTAAGAATATAATAACTGATAGATAGATATTCTCATTTGTTGTCATGGTACTATTGCCACAAGTGGAAATGACCCTGAAACCCATATAAAAACCCAGTCAGCTGCCCCAAGTGATAATGTGCTAATGACAACTAGGACACTGCAAGATGATATAACCGTCTCCTCCACCAGCAAGTGACGTTGTAGGAGCAGAAGGAGGGACCCCTGCAGGGACCTGTCACATTTTTTTATTGCCGTGTCACTCGCAGGCAGGAGGGGACTGTGATCCTGCACAATAGCACAGCCATCCTTTGTTTGAAATAGGTGAATTGCTTTGAAGGGGGGTTCAGAGGTCAGAAAGAGAGTTATAGCATTGCTATGCTACTGTAACTATGTCATTGACACAAGATATCAACCAAAAACTTTAGGATTCTCTGCCAGACAACTGACCTAACAAGTGCTAAGGAGGTTGCGGTGACAGTTAAAATGGAGCCATAGTGCTATAACTCTTATGAAAAAGTCCAAACTTTCTGGTGTTCTTTTGATGTTTAGTGAATATCAGAAGTCACATTAAACACTTGAGGGCTTGCTTCTGAATTCCCATACTTAAATAGAGGTTGGCATCCTATTGATGACAATTATTGTAAAAGTTACTTACTTACACCATCACCACTGACTTTTTTGGATTTTTTTACCATCTGTATGGTGAGCAACATCCCTCATAGCCACCATTTTCTGCTTAAGATGTTGATTCCTTTCTCTTTTAATTCTTGCCTCTCCCTTTCTCCTGTTCATGTGCTTTCTCCTTATCTTGCTTCCTAAACCGCTGACTAAACATCTCCTCCTTTTCTGCTAGTTTATATTTATCACCATGGCCTTCACTTCCATTGTCATGATTATCATCTTCCTCTTCCTCAGTTATTTCATAATTAATAGCAGCAGAGTTTTGATTATGATTTGGGAGGTCACTAATGACTATGCAACCTGACTGGAAGAAAAATAAAAGAAGGTGTTGTGAACAACCATGTTTAATGAGAGACAGGGTTTGAAAAGATCTTTTGGCTTTGATTTTTTTTCCTTTGGTTGGACGACATTTTTTAAAAAATGGAAATATCTAATCCAAGCAGACTTTGGAAAACTTTATTTAGTTGGAGTACAGTTCCCAACTGGTGGTTGCAAAAATGTTAAAAATAGACAGGAGAGATTTTGTTTGTTTGTTTTCAGTCAATACAAAGCTTGGAAACTTTCCAGCTGAAGAATTGTTTCCTTGTTAGAATTTGAGGTTGTTGGTTGTTTTTGTTTTTTTACATAAATTGGGTGGTGCTTAATGTATTGTGTTTAATAATATTATTAGGGCCTTTCCCCTCTGACATTACCCGAAGCCATTCCTAGGTCACACGTTTGATTGGATATGTCTGGTGTGTCTTATTGTATTACAGCCTTTGGCAGCAAGAAAATCTTATTGTATTTACTGGGTGAAAGGATTTAAAGGGTTAAAAGATTAAAACTTCTTCTCTGACTATAATGTAAACAGTGTGGAAGTGCTCATCCCATCTTTTTTATGTTACATTTCCAGATCCAGAATATATTTGTCTTTCTCTCTGTGCCAATGATCTCATTATTGTCTTTTCTTCTGTTCAGGGGTCTATGGATGATGAACACAACATCAGCAAAACTACTTCTATCATTGAAAGTCAGCACCACCACCTGCTGCACTGCTTGGAAAAAACAACTGTAAGTAGAAACAAAGATACATGTAACTTTGTATGTCATCCTTCATAGGATGGGCTTCAATTGAAGAAGACATAGGGATGCTATGGAATACACCTTACAGACAGATGTATATATCAGCCACTTGGTAGACATAAGGTATGCTTGTCTGGCCTCCAGTGCCTTATAAACAAGAGCCTGGCATCCTGTTCAGTAGTTACATTATTGTAAATTGGATGTGTGATCTCATAACTACTGAAGATAAATATTATTTATGCTTGTTAACATGACTGTTTCAGTCTGGCTGCCAAAAAGTTTCTGGGATACTGTAGACTGGGATATTTGGAAATGACTACAATGCTCTCTTGGTCATGGGACATTGGAAGAAAATGGTTTATGGCAGACCTGGTCACTCCAGTTGCCTGCTCTAGATCCTCTTTGTGAGGAGAGCATTCTAAACATTATTACCAAGATCCCTAGTGTACGGTGCCTTTGAAACATTTTATTTGAGGCACTGGCAGGTTGAAATGGCAGGTTGGGAAGCAGGGATGGCATTAGGTGACATAACTACATTTACATCAAGGTAGTTATGCCTGCTGCTGATGTATTGCATGAAGAAATAATGTGTTGTGCCTCAATTCGGCCAGCCAACACTGAGCTAAAGCCTGATGTATGCAACTATATGAGCAGTTTCATGCTGCTTCAGTTGTCACAACATGCACAATCCTCATAAAGAATCCAGAGATTTGTAGATTCTGGAATTCTTGACTTGAGAGGGCTAGAACTCTCTGTTGAAGAATTCTCAGTATTTCACCAAATTACAATTCTCGGGATTCAGAAGTTGGAATCATGACAACTAAAGGAGCATAAAGTTTCAGAAATTATGTGATGTAGTGGACTTTTAATAATTGATCTGTTGTTGTTATTGTTGTAATTAACAAAAAGAGATATATTATCTACTAACACTTGTGAGAAGTGGGAAGAAAACTACCAAACACAAATTTTAAAACATAAATGTTATCACATAAAAGCACGAAGTCATATTAATATAATCAATCCATTTCCTACTGTTACTAAACTTCTGTTGTATTGGTTCCCATCATCTCAGATATCCTCCACATTTTTGACTTCTTCACACAATACAATTAACATCACAATTTCTATTTGCTCCCACAGTTGTAGTCTGCTCAGACTATGGTTACTTATTCATTTGTCCTTCAGAATTTTTTCTTTCAAAACTTGAAAAGCCATAAAATGTGATTGTGATGCCTAACAAGAAATTACCACTAAGAATTAAATAAAGAGTAACTTAGGTTGTCCTTATTGTTGTGAGTCAGTACCAACCTAAGATGCCTGCAAAGCACCAGAGTTACATGGGCTACAAGTTCTCAGGTAACAACCTGGAATAGGAGAAGTATCGGGAGCTCAATCTGGTAACAATATTGTTTGAGAGATGAGGAAACTCCTATACTTCAGTTACTTTGCTACAATAATAAATAAGTGGAAATCCTTTAAAATAATTAACATTATCCTTGTGATGTCCAAGAAGGGAAATCTGTCTCTTATGCAGCATCACTGTGCAGCATCACTTCTCAGTGCATCCTCATTTGGTATCCCATTGCTTATCTGGGCCCCAGTCAGTTGGCTGAACATATCATTTGATGGCCATCACTATGCATGTGTTTCATCCAGGGTCACTGGTTGTTATGTGTGACCGTACTTGCTTGTGACTAGAACTGCAATGGGAGTCATATTTTTGTTGTCACCACTCCACCACACTCCCTTTTTTGAAAATATAAGATTAGGACCAGGCTTTTGCTGCCTGTGTATTATTTGTGCAGCGCAGCAAACCAAATATAAGCAGTATACATGGAGACATTCTAACTTAATACACAGTTATTGTTCCTGTAGAATTAGGCAGAAGGCCATCATAGCCAAAGACATGGCACACATGGACTAATGTGGTACATCGGCATGTTCGACACGGCTATCACTACCACCATATAGCAGACAGCATCTCCATGATAAGAAATAACACAAAATTTAAAAGATAACAATTCATAAAAAGTTCAATGGTACAGTTATGTTATTCATGTTAGACTTTGAAAGACATTGCACGTGGATTTTCCCCTTAACTGAAATGTGAAGGTTACTATCACTACTAATACAGGCATATCTCAGTTAACAAAGTCTCTGAAATTAAAGTTCCTTTTTACTAAGGCTTTTTACACACACTCAGCCCACTTTGGAAGTTTTTTAACAACATTGGCAGAATGGTGAAGGAGGGCTGAAGAAACATGAACTTCCATTGCTGAGTTGCAGCAATGTATTCTGAGCTGGAAAAGAATGGATAAGATTCTATGATAATAGATCCTGCTTCAGCTGTATGTGCTTGCCTATAACTGGCAAGGTAAACAGCAGCTGCAGAATTCCTTGCTGAAGATGTATAAATGGCAAAACAGAGAAAAAAGGAGAAAACAGATAAGTCTGTCTCACCAGCTATCTCCAGCATCTTTTTTTTTAAAGACCTATAAATTAAGCTGCCAAAAAAAAAAAGAAAATAAGAAAAGCAGAGACTTGGGAAAGCAAAAGTAATCCCTGGAGTTTGGAAGACACCTACAAGTGCTATTTAAAAAGTTCAAACTGTTTTTGCTTTCTTATTCAAAGCTATTTCCCTGGTATTGCTGGTTCCTTTCACATGTGCACATTGCAAAAGAATCTTGTAGCACCTTTGAGACTAATTGAGAGAAAGAGGTTGGTAACATAAGGTTTCATAGACATAAGTCTACATTATTGGATCCTAGAAACAGGCCTTTATAGCTATGAATTGGTAGGCTATATATGTGAATAAATAACAATAGAATTGCAAAACTTGTAGGTCTGGTGATGAGGTGATGAATTCAGTTTAAACAATGATCATTGGAGAATAAAGCAAGAGAAAATATGTCTTAAGTTAAGTTAAACTAATAACCACATGAATGGTGGAGGCAGCTCCTGGAATATATTGTGGTGCTGACTGGGAACCAGAAAGAACATGTGATAAATTCGCCAAGAGAGCCCTCAGGAAGCTGGGTGTTATAAATTTATGCATTATACCTGGAAACCATTGTCTCTGTTCACCCTTCTGTTGATGGACTGAGGTTTGTGGATATGTTCCAATCCCGTTTCTCTTTCCACTATTCCTTTGTAGATTTTTTTTTGTTCAAGGACTGCCGTTTTAATTTACATATACATCTTACTCATTCATAGCTATATCTGTTCCTAAAGTATTCATTCCATGCATCTAATAAAGTAGACTTAACTCTATGAAAACTTGCACTACTAGTTTCTTTCTCTCAGAATCCAAAAGGCTGCAAGATTCCTGTCTTTGAATTCTACCCAAATGTGCATATTTTGTTACTTTTTAACTGAACATGTTGAGCTGCTCTTATCTTATAGCGTAGGAATTTATCTATATCCATTCCATGATATTTCTTCCTGTGCTACCACAGTTTCTATAAAAGAAATGATGCCTGGGAAGACATCTGCTTTATTACTCTGGCATTCTTGCATATGTTTGTATCCAAACTAATGCACTATGTCATTCTTTTAAAATCAATGGTAGTTTCATAGGACTCTATCCCACATGCAGGAGGAAAGGTGGGAAAGCAGAGGAAAACAAGGGGAAGCATTCTTAAGAGTAGGGACACAACTTACCCCAGCAAGATCTGTCTTCAGGGATGGCCAGCCATCCCACATCGTTTCCACATTTTCTCCCTGCTTTCTTCCACTTCCTGCTGCTTTCTTCAATCAGGAGTTGAGAAACACCCGACTCTTGAAAATGGACTCCTCTCTCCATCTTTGCATGCTGGCAAGGCAGACTTTCATGCACAGCCACTGGAAGTATCTGTGCTTATGAGATGGCCTCTGTTTTGCTTGCATTTGAAGATGGTAAGTAAACAAGGAAAGTTAGAGTGGGATAAGGTCCTTAATCTGTCCTGGAAAGGACAGGATGGAATATGTTAGTGTGGGCTGCAATTGTGTCACATACAAATATCTTTCCTCATATACTAAGCTGCTGATTTAGAGATAATACAAGAGGAAAGTAATCTCACTGCAGCACAATTCTGAGCAAATGATAACATCAAACAAAGAAGATCAGTCCAGTCATGCTGAATAGTCAAAACAATGTGCCTCTTAACTGGTAAACATGAGTATGCTTTACTCCATTTCCAGTGCTACCACCATATTTAAAGCAAGGCCATGCATGGCTATAATATAAAAATAGAATGACAGAACTATTAAACAACATTTACCACAAGTCGTTGTTCAAACTAATATTGGTCTTCTAATTTCTGTTGTAATCCAGTGCCATGGGAACCTTTCACACTATACAATTATAGCACTATGATTTCAAAATAGCTGCCATGGCTACACTTTATATGCAATTTGTTGAGGCACTAGAACTCTATGACAGATTATTCTAAACATCCTTCCCTGAACTAGAATTCCAAAGGATCTTGCCATGGAATGATGACACCATAGTTATGAGGTGTGAAACGGTCCCTACACCTGAGCTGTGATTTAGATGGTCCTCAGTTAAAACTACTCATTCAATGGCCTTTGATATGTGTTCTCTAGACTTGAGTAATCCCTCCTCCCTCCCACATCTTCAGCATGAAAGTAATACTTCTACTGATGTTCCTTGTAGAATTGTTATAGGGATACATGGAACACTTGCAAAGAACATTTAATCTTTGGATAAAAGCAAAATCAAGGAGCACAATGTCCGTTATTCTCCCTGTGCCAACCGTTTCAAAGTGATGCCAAACTTGAGAAGAATGTATTCAGATAAGCTGCTCAGAGTTTGGTAAAGATGTAGATTGCTGCTCTAATTTTAATTACATTGTTGTTATTGCTTTTTGATATTTTGAATTGTATGGTTTAATAGGCTTTAATGTTAGACAATTTAACTACCTATTTATACCCTTTTTGTGTAATAAATTGTAGTATTATATTTGTTTTAATATCTAAATGACCACAAGTCTGAGATTTTGAGGGAAAATACAGATGATAATAATAATAGTAATAATAGTAATAATAATAATAATAATAATAATAATATCATCATCATCATCCAGAAACCTCCCAGTCAGCATGGCTTGTAAATTTGCTGCTGAATCATTTTTATTATAATAAATGGGGAGATGGAGTGGTGAAAACAGTCAAAGCTGATTAGTTAAAGTAGTAATTGATGGCCAAAATGTGTAGGAACTAAGATGATCAGAATTATGATGAATTATTCACCTCTCATCCTCTGTCTAGCTAAAATCTGCATAAAAATAGACATAATCCTACACCAGAAATCACGGGTGGGCTGGGGTAAGGGTGAACTGATGTGACTCACTGCATCTTCAGTCAATGCTAATGGGTGTTTGGTTATTGGAAAGGCATGTGCTGCTGACCTAAACCACCTATCATTTTCAACATAGAGGTTGTCATTTGCAGATTGACATGCAGCATGTTTACTGTGTGTTTTTCAGTGCACCCATCAAAACGGTTCAATCAGCATTTGTGCTGAAAGTGCATGTCTTTCCATCATGCTTAATGAGTTAATGAAAAAAGCATCACACTAACAAAATAAATTCTCATCGTAGCCTATGAATTCTTGAAACACCAAGGAGTCATTTTGCAATGTCACATTGTTGCCAGTGGAATGAAGGAATGATCCATACATAAGAATTATCCACAGGTTTCAAGGGGCAATGTTACCTTTCCTCCAACCACTCAAACTAATTTTGGCAGTAGTGACTGCTATTGAAATTCAAGATTGAAATGTCTGGACTATGACAAATTATACCCAGATTCAGTGAAGCAGTGCTGGAGGGGATTGGTCCCTAATTTGAAGACATTAAAAAAAATGATAGCTATATCATTTAAAATATATATTTGATACTTATTTTGTATTAGTATGCATGTCTTTTCTTTAGCAGTTCTAATTTATTATAACAATCAATTCTAATCCAGATTCTCAGTTCCTCATTGGGAAAACCTCTGTTAAGCTGCTTAGAATGAATTTATTTTTCCCTGGGACTCAATATGGAAACCATGGAGGCCTCCAATGGCATTAGGCATGTGTCCTTGTTTGGAGAGTGGACTTTTAAGTATGTTAAAAGAAAGGCCTGCTTGCCCATTCAAACTTGTGTGTTGCCAGACGGAATGCTGAGACTAAACTTTGGAATGCTGGAATGGACAATCAATGGTGTTTTTATCTTTTGTTGACATGTTGTCCTGTAGGGATTGTCCTATCTTGTGGATGATCCCCTGTTATCTGTACGAACTTCCACCTTCAAGGTATTTCCTTCTTAATTCAATCTGTATACCACATCTCTGTGCCATGTTCCAAGTGTTGTTTTCTTTCTTGTTAGTGATTCAGTTCTTAGCAGACTGTGCATGCTGGAACATTTTTGTTATCTGGTGGTGCTGAGCGCTATGAAAAACAGTTTTATTAGTGTTTAACTCTTCCTATATCAAGGGGGGGTGCTAAATGTAAACATTAAGTGTCTGCATTATTGATGTGGTTGTGACCGTAATGTATATGCTGGGATTTCTCCCTTTCAGTTTCTATCTATGAGCGGAAGGTACCACTTATTTCCGCTTTGTGTTTGGTGTGTGTGTTTATATACATATACAGTTGGCCCTTAGTATCTGCTAGAAATTGTTAACAAAACCCTCATGGATACCCTAATCAGTGCATAAATTAAGTTCTATAGTGGTTTAGTAAAACAGCATCCTTTAGATAAAATGGCAAAATTAGGGCTTACTTTTTGGATTAAAAAAAATATATTTTCAAGGCATGAATGGTTGAATCTAAGGATGCAGAATCCGTTGATATGGAGGGCCAACTGCATATCTTCATATTTTGATCTGGTTATAACTACTATTCTAGAACATTGTAAGGATATGTTACAACAGTTGTATGTTATCCACTAAGCCTAAATTCAACTACTGATCCTGACTATTGTAGACCTGTTGAATCAATGAGATTTGCTTGTTTATGGACTCATCATTCAGCAATTACTTTACTGAGTCTACTCCGCTTGGGACTAACCAAAAGGATGCCAGTTTCCCTCAGAGGTCCTATAGATGTCTGGGATGACTGAATGTATTATAAACTACAGTTCCTAGTTCCTATCAGGCTCAGCCAGCATAGCCAATGGTCAGGGAGTTGTTATTCAACATGAGTGTTGACATGACAACACTCATGTTGAACGATAATTCCCTGAGAGTGCTACATTGGGAAATGTTGCCTGATGCTGGTGTCACATGGTTAGTAGGATTGTGCCAACTGCATAAAGCCGTCATCTTTGAATTAGACAATATGACAACTTCAAGGAAGAACATTCTTGATTGACCCTGCCCACAGGAGCACTGTACCATAGCAACTCAATGGGAAGCTTTCACAACATCCTAACGACAGTTGTTGCTTAGCTCATAAAAGCTAAGTTGAAGCCTTTTCATTGGTTGTCTTCTGTCTTGAAATCACACAATTTTAAGAAGTTTTCCTCCCTATACATTTTTTTAGGCCTTATGCCATTCAACTACATTGCTTGAAAATTTCTGCATGGTTCATGTTTCCTGTCTTGTCACTCACATTCAACCTTTTAACCACGATCATGCCTGGGTCAGCTTCATAACCTTAAACCAGACATACCATATCACCTAACATTACCAAGAAACTTATAACAGGAACTAGATTTTCTAGTTAGATGGCTGAACTCTCTCACACAATAAGGCATAAGTGACATGTATACTTGTTTTATTCAGGCAAAGTACAGCAAAAGATCCTCATAAGGAGATATGCAATTTCTATGCATCTCCACCACTCACATATCTCACTGTGTAGATTATAGGCAAGATTCTGACTTTGGTTTTGGCCAAGGCAATGCAAAAAAGCTGTAGCCTTAAGTCTTCATGCTTTCTCTGTCCGTCATTCATTGAACAGCCTCAGTGAAAAACTGAGTATACTCCATGTGTAACTAGTGGAGTTTCACATAATCCAGTATCTTTGCTTTTAAAATAGAGTGCAATTTAATACTGTACTGTTTGCTTTTGGACTGTTTGTTACATTTACTTCATTTTCGGTTGCCACAAACATTCCAACCTAAGCAGCAATAATCGGTTTATACAAACTACTACAGATCATTACTCAAGGGGATGGTGGAATACGACTCACAGCTCCCACGCTTTGCATCCCAATTTCTAGGCGAAAATGTCATGGTGTCCATTATTTGGTCCTTAACCTGCCTATTGCCTTTATTTTGAGCTCAGAACTCCAATTCTAAGAATTCCCAAATTCTTGGTATAAACCCAAAAAGTAATTTTTCCATGCTCCGTTTCCTGTTGTTTTCTGAACCTAACCTGAGTATTTACAGTTATAACCTGCATTAAATGTTTGAATTTTCTGTAGTAGAGCCAGAAGAGGCAGAAGTGAAAGTAGGAAGCCAAAGGAAGATCACAATTTACTAAGCTCGAACAATCACAGGCCACACACCCCTACAAAATAAATATATCTAGCTGCTTTATATTATGGGAAAGGATGCAGCAGTATCAAATCAGTCTAGGTGGAGAATTCCTTACTGGGAACTCTAGCCATTCAGGTTTCAATCCCCAATTATGGTTAAGAATTATGGAAGTTGCAATACATTTAGAGCAGTGGTTCCCAACCTTTGGTCCCCAAGATGTTTTATACTTCAACTCCCACAATCCCTAACAACTGTTAAGATGGCTAGGATTTCTAGGAGTTGAAGTCCAAAACAATGGAGAACCAAAGGTTGAGAACCACTGATCTAGAGATCACATGTTTTGCATGACTTCCCTAAAGTATCAAGAGGGTGCCCTCGGCACATCAAGAAAAGAAGTTTCAGGTTCAACTTGCTGACTGCACAGTTTTTAATCCACCCAACATAATCCCCCTGCCTTGCCAGCCTGCCCCTTTACATAGAACTAAGCATACATAAAGATACATAGAACTGCACCATCTTGTTTACAGCAATAGTGAAGCTGGCCCAGAGCAGAAGGAAACTACAAAAATGGAAGCCTAGAATTGCAAGAATGGGAGAAGGATCTAGAAGCCAAAAACAACATGGCTATATTTAACTTAGTAGATCATACATATTCTCTAAGTTTAAGACAACTAAGACATCAACCTGCCACTTGATAACTAAAAAAAAATGGAAAGGAAAAACCATGTAAAGAATGTCTCAATATTATCTCATCCTTAATATATCAATACACCCCTTGGAGAGGGAAATGAGATTTTAGTCCCGTTTTGCAAGAGGAAAAAGAACACAAATTTTCCTCCTGGTTGCCAGATTTTGTAACACTGCAAAATACACATTTTGCTATGCAAAACTAACTTTTGTAAAAAATTTACACAAAACATCTCAAAGGCAAAAAAGGATTTAAATGCACAGAATTATAAAATCTCACAGACGAGGCAGGAGATGATTGTTTTTTGTTCTGTAGGTGAGGATGAAACAGGTAAATATTATTTACATCTCTGCATGTCATATACAAGCCGAATCTAGTTTTCCAAAGGTACCTATTACAAGTACCTTTGGCAAACTATGGCCATACAATCACTTCTGTCTGCAAGCAGGCAAAACACAAGATTGTCAAATATTTAGCAGAACCAAGCTAGCAGTCTTTACTCAGCTTGATGAAGCATATAATATGCTGACCTGCTAGAGTCTTAATAGATATTATTTATGTTAGCCATAATGCACAAGGAATTCTCCTGGATAAATGTTATTGAAATTTCTTGAGGTGTGCAAATGAACTTTCATGTTCAAAATCTAAAACTGAAATTATATCAGTGGGATTTGCAGCAAATAACTTCCTCTTTTTCTAAGCCTTTATTTAGGCACTGATACATTATATATTTGTTTAGTTTTATAATATTTGTAGGATTTCATATCCATTTCAGCTGCAACAGGTCTACATAGATAACAAAATATAATAATAATAATAATAATAATAATAATAATAATAATAGTGTTAAAAAACAAAGTATCGATTGTCGATGTTGCAATCCCAGGTGACAGCAGGATTGAAGAGGAACAACAGGAAAAGCTGACACGATATGAGGATTTAAAGATCGAACTGCAAAGGCACAAGCCAGTAAATGTGGTCCCAGTGGTGATCGGCGCACTGGGTGCAGTGTCTAAAGACCTTGGCCTGCACTTAAACAAAATTGGTGCTGACAAAATTACCATCTGCCAGCTGCAGAAGGCCACCTTACTGGGATCTGCACACATTATTTGCCAATGCATCACACAGTCCTAGACACTTGGGAAGTGTCCGACGTGTGATCCAAAGTGTCCGACTTGTGATCCAATACAACAGCTAGCAGAGTGATCTTGTCTGCTGTGGACTCATCTTGTTGTGTTTCTAATGATGATAATAATAATAATAATAATAATAATAATAATAATAATACTTCCAGTCTGCAAAACCAATATAATCAACAGAATGAGTTACACATGGGCACTAAATTCCAGCTATTAAAAGGAATACCCAAGTAATATAGGACTTTCAGAACTTTTGTAGTTGAATGGCATGTGAAACATCATTTGCAGTGAAAAGGATACTCATAAGTTATATAAATGAAATGAAATTGAAATTGTTCAGGCTCAGGAACTAAGAAGTTTCCAAGGGAAAAAGCTTCCTTAACAATGGAGCACATATCAAGAACTGTTCTATTTAGGGTTTTATGGGGCCAAATTCATGCAAATATGAAATACATTGATTATGGGTTGACAAAGAATGGCAAACACATTTCAATCATAGGTTTTCTCGTAAAAAAAAAAAAAACTCAGACAAACCCAGGATAGGGAAAGCAATTTCTGGTACTATTTATCTGAGGCATTCTCAGCCAAATTCACAAGTACCTTCCACACTCTGCTGTGCTAGTGTCCAAGCATGAACCTGGACAAAGATGTGGCAGGCATCTAAGCGTGCCTTTGCTGTTGTAAGCCGCCCTGGGTCCCCTACAGGGTGAGAAGGGCGGGGTACAAGAACCCCAAATAAATAAATAAATAAATAAAGAGGAAATGTTCTGACAGTGGAGCAAGTTTTCCTATAAGTGTCTCTTTGCCAGCCACTACAGGAAGTGCCACCAATGAAAGACTGTATCAACAGTGGCTACATGAAGGAACATTCTGTTGAAATTTCTAAAGCCACAGCCAAAAGGAATATATCACTGTGCTTATTTGAAAGTTCAGCCAGTGGGTTGTGGTGGTGGGTGGTAGCAGATTTTTAAAAGTCATGTTGGAAGCTACTAACATTGGTTGATGTTCTTCCTGGCAGAACCATGAATTCATCGATGAGCAGATGTTTGAGCAGAACTGCCTGGAGAACTATCCATCCACTCGTAGTCCCTCCCTCTCAAGTCACCATGGCTTGTCCACCTCCTGCTGTTCCCGACGCAGCAAGAAGACAACGCACCTCCCCAATTCCAGTGTGCCAGCAACTCGGCTGAGAAGCATGCAGGAGCTCAGTACCATACACATCCAGTGCAGTGAACAGCCCTCACTCACAACAAGGTACAAGGACATTTCCACAATGAAGTAATATCTTCATGCCTCTGCTATCAAGTCTTCGGCAGGAGCGAGTGGTTTTCAGGACCAGTTTTTCTTCATTGCGTTGAACTGGGGATTTAGGATGGTTTTTCTGATGCATCCACCTTGATGGTAATGGGAGTTGGGATGAAATTTTGTGTGAACCATTCAATCTGAAATTTCCAAATATAGAACTGGAAATTCTACCTGTAAGGTGGGACTCACTGAAAATGATTCCATGACATCTCCATGCCAGATAGTGGATATCTCTAATCTAGGCATTACTACATTGCTGCTGTCACAGGGAAGCAGATGGCTGGTAATGCTGGGATTAAGAATCTACAAATAACAATATCCCTAAGCAGTTGCAAGCATCATGGAGTAAGCTTTTAAATGGCTGACATGTGACATTTGAACATCTGAACTGGCCTTTGGCTTTAGCATGCTGAATGGATCTTATGAATGTCCACAATAATTTGCTATCTCCTGGAAAATATCCAAAAAGCTAGCAGAATATATAGGCTGGTATAACTTCTAAGGATATAAAGAGGCCTATGTATCTCTTTGTTGCTGCTGATATACTCTTCCACCCTCCACAATGATTATAGCTCCTTAACTAACAGTTAAGGGCCTTGTCCCTAGCCATACATGACTAGTGGAGAGCAGGGGAACAGGGAAATCACAGATGTGTCTGGCTACATTGTTGCAAGATGCAGGATGATGATATCATCCTTTGAAGCCTTCAATGTATCCCATTTTCTCTGCCCGGCTATGGTCGCACTTCTCCATTCCCGCATTGCCACTCTCATTCCCCACAAGCCACTGAATGACCATGAAAAGTAACTGCAGCAGTGAGTCAAGAGGGTTGGGTGGAGAGATGAATTTTGACTATCAATTTACCATCTAGATCCATTACAAGATCAACAAAAGATACCCAAATGCATTGCAAAATAAAGATTTGCTTACTTGAACAGATTAACCTATCCCACAATTAGGGGAGACATTAAAAAACACCTGTTTTGTCAACAAAAGGGCTGACTCAGTCCTCACCATCTCCAAGAGAGACAGACACACTTTTTGCTTGGTATCTTGGGAAGATTTTTCTCAGTTAATGTACACAGAGAAGTGATAGATTTACCGTATCTCATTGAAAAATGTCATGTCCAGCAACTGATGGTGGTTGGTAGTGGAATGGTGGTGTTTAGTACACAGAAGGCTTGGTAGGATCCTGACCAGTAGGGTGGTGATGCTGCAGAAGGTGTGGAAGGGGCTAATTTTCCTTCTAGTTCTAAAGGGAAGAGTAATCAGTACGTAAGTTCTTACAAAACCAAAGCCACTTCATATATTACTGTGCTGAAACCTTGCTTTCAGTGTAATGAGTCGGAGATTTTATAGTGAAAAAAGCAGTCTATACAGCTTAAGCTGGCCAATACTATAATGCTGGAAGAGAAACATAATTTTAACACATAGATGACAATGTAGAAAGGGGGCTCTAGTTTAGTGGGAGAGTATTAACTGTGTAAGCAAAAGTCCTGGATTCAACCCCTGATGCTCCAGATAGCTTGGCCCTCTTACTCTCTCAAAACATTTCCCTAGACGGCTGTGCCATAGCCGTGATAGCATCATTTGGTGGTTCCCATTTTCTGTACAGGTTTTCTCAGTTCCAAAAGGTTAAAATGCCTTTTGTCAGGCTTTGTTACAGGCGGTGTAATCTTTAAACTAAAATATGCTTCATAATTTTGATCTCACGCTTTTTCATTTGCCCTATACACCACTGGGGTGTGATTCTTGAGAACTTCACTAGAGTTCAGCCCTCAGATCAGAAGATAAAACATTTTTTTTGCCTTCCAATAATATCCAATTTTTGCAACACAAATGGAGTTCTAGTCTTCACTTCTACTGTTTTAACACTTGCTTTAAAACAATTTCTTTTGTCTTATAGTCGTTCCAGTTTAAATATGAAATCGGATGATGGGCTGAGACAGAACTGCAAAGCCTCCCAAATAACAACAGCAATCATCAGCATCCCAACACCACCGGCCCTGACACCAGAAGGTGAAAGCCGGCCTCCTCCATCTAGTCCCAGCCACTCTACGAACATTGCTAGCAGCAACATTGTCAAGGTCTCTGCTTTGTAAGATTGTGTTGGTCAAAGGAGGTGGCTTGGAAGAAGGCCAACATTCCTCTCCCTTTCCCCGCCTCCATGTTCCTTCTTTGCTGCATATTGTGCCTAGATGGATGACTGGACGGACAGTGAGACCAATCCGATTGACATCTAAGAATTAACCATGGGAGCCCTCATGGGGCAGCTTCCCTCAAACTCATGTTCATGCTGCAGAGTGAGCTCAGGAGAAATGGGAAGCTGGGGGGCGTGTGTGGAAGGATGAAGGAAGGCACTCTCTTCGTTTGTAAACACGCCTTGTTCCAGGATATGAGGCATATAGTAGTTCCCAGAAAGTGGAAGAGATGTCCTGTCATAGCGACGAGAAAGTCAATAAAGAAGCAGAATTATAACACTGTGTATCTCAGCACCTTTTAAAAGGTTTTTAATGGATAATATTTATTCATGAGGAAATGACTGAAAAAAGGTGATAAAAATGGATTTTGTGATTTCTTTTTTCCTTCATGCAGCAGGATCCTTAATCAACCAAAACTACACTTTTTTTTCTTTTCTAGCTGAAGGTTTTAGACAAAGAAGCCACCTTGTCACCAGGAATTTAATTTCCATCTTTTATGTGTATGTGTGTGTGCGTGTGCGCAAACGAGCAAGCAAGCAAATCACAAAAACTTGGCACCCTTCAGCTACAGATGCTCTGAGCACAGCTTCCTGTTTCTGGGCTCAACCCTGCAAAGACTTACGGTTTGCATGGTCCACACAAGCTTCGTCATGCCTGTAGAACCAATGGTTCTGCTCGCTGTGCATCTGTTTCTGCATGAGTGTGTCTTTGCAGGCTTCAGCCTTTTTAGTGCACAGTAGCAAAACAAACATCTGCATGCAATCACACACGCGCACACACAAACAAGCACCAATAAAAACTTTCATTGTGGATGGCATTTTTTTTCTTCAGAGAGTTTTTTTTTGTAATTGCCTTTAACTCAACACAAATTGCAGTTGCAAACAGTGTATTTGTCTGCTAATTATTGTCTGGGGGGATCATATTTGTGGGGAAGAAAACAGGCTTTGGTAGTCAACCACAATTTTTTGCTTTTTTAAGAAAAGATTATTTTGTTATCACTGGCTTGTAAAGAGTGTGACTAGTTAAATTAGTCCTATACTTTTAAAAGTCTAAAATGGTGAGCCTAGGGAATTATACTTTTTTATCCTGTACACACAAGTTTCAAAGAGGACAAACCATACAAAGCAACTGTGCCAGATGTTCATAAATAGTAATCTAGGCCCATGCTTTCTTTTTTCTGCTTTATATGTGTTTCTTTAATAGTAATGGAAATGTCTGCCATTGTATATAGTAGCCAGATAGTGGATCTGTCCTTGGTAGGATTACTTCAGGAGCCAAATGTTTTGCATGGACTGACAGTGTGTCTCATTTTGTTATACAGTCCTGTGGCTCTTAGTAATAGTAAGTGACTGGGATGCATCAACTTGATGGTTAAAGCAATTAAATAATATTGGACTTTCCCTTGTTAAAGCATCGTTTTCTGTCAAAGAGGAGGGTTGCTTCTAGATTTTTGAGGTCTACTTTATATTAGAGTACCATTTCTAATCAATTTATAAAACACTGTTAATAGATGGTTTAAATAATATGTATGTTTCAAAATAGCTCACCAATTGTTAAATATTGTTATACTGTTTAGAAAGTTTAGGACTGTGAGTTATAACCATCTACAAGGTTTTATACCAATGTTCTCCTAACAGACCTCCCTTAGGTGCCAGTCTGAGGGATCTCCATCCATGTCAACAAAACTTAGGCGAATACAGAGCTCTGTGGATTGTGCCCTTCATCCGTCACAATGTTTGCACAGTTTATTCATCTCTTTGAACTCATCTACCCATCAATGTATTGTGTATCCCTTTTCCAAACATGTTTATGTTGCCCACATCATACCACCCTTTGCAGCTTTGCTTTGCTTGTTCAAAAGCACCTCAAAATTTAACTCAAAACATTTTAGATAGACATTGTGTTGCTTTTTAAAAACTGAGGAGGCTTCATAAACAAAACCAATCATTCATAAAATATTAAGCTCTATTGCAGTGAAACTTATTATTCAAGCTTTTGTTCACACATGTATTTTCATTTAAACTTTACAGGCATTGAACAAATATTTCTCAGACCCTGCACAAAAATGTAGAAGGGGGAATTATAGATTGTCCTGTGGTCAGATACCTTTAGCCAGTCAAAAACTAAAATAAATACCAACTTGTTTCTTGGTTTCTTCCCTATTTTCTCAGAGAGTTTACACCCACTTCTGTTTAATCTGTTGAAAAAGAAAGTTCCATGCAAGTTCTATACAAAACCAGAACCACATAGGATACAACAGGCGTGGGCAAACTTGGGCCCTCCAGGTGTCTGGACTTCAACTCCCACAATTTCTAACAGCCTTGGGTCCCTTTCTTTTCCCCCTTTGCTGCTTAGGAAAGGGCCTGAGGCTGTAAGGAATTGTGGGAGTTGAAGTCCAAATACTCGGAGGGCCCAAGTTTGCCCATGCCTGGTATACAACATTAGTAGTTAAGCTGGAGTCATAGTGCAATTATTGCCCAGTGTCAAAGAACTCACTATATTGAAGCAAGGACTTGGAAAAGGTGGATATATTGTAAATATGTCCTACCATAACTGGATTCCTCATCACGGAACCTGGAAAAAGCTTCTGATAATTGCAAGATTCCAAGTAGTGCAGTTTAAATCACATACAAACATTTACAGTAAGATAAGGTAGCTCTTCATTTACCCTCAGTCGCATTCAGATCCAATAACAATTTTTCAGCATCAGGCATTTACCTTTCAGTGAATGAAGGCATACTACTGAGATTCAATGTTGTCCTTCAAGTTTCTCCATAGTGTATAAACTCTTAAAAATTAAGCAACACGCATTCCTTGCTTTCACTATTTTCATTATCTCTCTAGTGATCCTGCTTCCCTTGTGAGAGAACTGACCATTAGACTCTCAGTGATGCCTACATTAAATGTTCCTTTATTTCATTTACCTTCATTACATCTCATATTACTTTAGCGATCAGGTTCTACTTGCTCAATTTGAGGTTTGATCATCCACTACCTTTAACAGCTTGTTTTGGCTTTTACATCTGTGCAAAAGAAAACTAAAAAAGAAAAATGTTTTATGCACATGCAGTACATTTCACACAAGTTGTAGCTGCAAGCTTGGCCTGATATAAAGTGATACAATATGTAAACCAAAAGGGTCCCAAGGCTTTTGGGGAAGGCTGTACTTCATCAAACTGGCCTTTTCCATCCACACCTACCATGGATTGTTTCACCATCAGGAGCTACTATTCATCTTTTAAATAGGCCGATGGTGTCCTCTCTTTTAACATCCAATATAGCACTATTTCAAAATACAGTAAAAGTGAACTTCTGGCATTTCTGGACCACATTTTTATTTCTGGAAGTGAGAATTTTGGGGTACTCTCTCAAGAGTTGCACACTGTCTTGTGGAGCCACTGGGAGGAGACCAATGTGACTATCAAGGTGATCAAAGATCTGTAAGCCCAGCCTTTCGAGGAGTGACTTAGGGAATAGGCATACTTAGCTTCAAGAATAAAAGATAGATGGCATAATTGCTGTTGTTGTTGCATGCCTTCAAGCCATTTTCAACCTATGGTGACCCTAAGGTTTGTTAGATAGGTTTGGGTAAGAGAGAGTGATTTTTTTGAGGTCATGCAGTGAGTTTCATGGCCGAGTGAGGATTTAAATTCAGAACTCCTTGATCCAGTCAAACACTATAACCCCAAACCAAATTGTATGTATCTCCTTACTTACAATTCTTTCACATTCAAGACCCCAGTTCTTTGCATATAAGCAACCTAAAAAACATGTGCCTTTATTCCAAGACTTGAGAGTTTTTTCAAAAGTTGGTATACCAGAATGTATAAATATCTATTTCTGTCTGCAGACCTAAATCCTAGCATTTGGCCCATATGAATTGACTCTTTGTGACAATATTCTTCAGTTTATTATTTTTCTTATAAGTTTTTCAGTGATTTTCTCTGGATCAAAAACACATATTGGAATGCAAACAATCAATGTCTGTTTTGAATATTTGCTTCATTTCTTCTGTTACTTAACTATGGTTTCTTTTGGGCCAGCTATAACATGGCACCAACACATAGAAAACCTCTTGACATTGCAGGCAACATGCCTCTTGCCCAAGACATGCAGAAGCGCCAACATTACTCTTTAGTTTCCCCACCACTCAAAGCTTTGGGTTTGCAATCATTCAGATGGTTAATTTTCTGAAAGAACCTTGACCTCAACAGGATTTAACTATTATAGTTTTAGTCCTTTTTAATAATAATGAATGGCATCTGAATCTCTAATCTAAATGCAAATCACAGCAAGTAGATTCTCTGAATCAATGAAATTTACACAACTGTTGACTTCTCAAGTTTTCATTGATTCAAACTGGGTCTAGCAAGTGGATTTAGGTCACAGGAATGAGTCAGGAGTATATTCTAAGAACACAAGCTCTTTTCATTCAAGGAGCAAAAAACCCCTTGGTCATGACCCAAAAGGTCCTGTTTCCACAATTAGATATGAAAAGCAGCAATGATTCTCATGGAGGAAAATGTAGTTTCCTTATTACCCATCCATTTATTAAGTTACAATGAAATGTTATTTTTTAAAACTTTCATTGCATTGTCTTATAAAACCACAGATCCTGTGCATTGATCTCTCAACACATCAATAGATTTTCTCACACCACTTGCCATTTGATTACATATTCATATGGCTTATTTAAAATCTGTAACAAAAAATAAAGAGTGCATCTACACTGTAGAATTAATGAAGTTGACACCACTTTAGCTGCCATGGCTCAAGGTTATAAGAGTTCTGGTTTGATAAGGTGTCAGCCCTATTTGGCAAAGAAGCCTGAATACTTCACTAAACTACAACTTCCATTTTTGTGTGTGTCAGGAGCCACTTGAGAAATTGCAAGTTGCTTCTGGTGTGACAGAATTGGCCGTCTGCAAGGATGTTGCCCAGGGGACGCCCGGATGTTTTTGATGTTTTACCATCCTTGTGGGAACTTTCTCTCATGTCCCCGCATGGGAAGCTGGAGCTGACAGAAGGAGCTCATCTGAACTCTCCTCGGATTCGAACCTCCAATCTGTCAGTCTTCAGTCCTGCCAGCACAAGGGTTTAACCAATTGCAGCATTGGGAGCACCTTACGACTCCCATGATTCCATAGCATTGAGCTATGACAGTTAAAGTGATATCAAACTGGATTGAGACAAGTCCACACCATGCCACACTTTTCCTAAATTCATTTTCCTAAGTTCCAGATAGATAGACTCAGTGACATAATTGAAAATGGTAAGTCAACACTATAGCAAATTCCAGTAATGCAGATGGACTACTCTAATTGGTACTAATACAATAGTGGTAGAAATCTTGTGTTGCATTGCTTGGCATATGTATCATTGTACCCCAGCTGTGGGAACTGTCTAGCTTTCTAGAGTTGTTAGACTTCATCTATCAACAGCCTTAGCGATCATAGCTAATCCTGAGGAACACTGGGAGATGCAGTTCAACAACTCTGTTACTGGTCAATTAAAGCCAAACATCAACCATTCCACCCATTCCACAATAATCTCACTGATATTAATGGACCTTATCCAAAGATTCCTTTCATTTCTTTAAGGAGACAAGCTTTGGTTGGATCATTTCTAATGTGACAACAGAGGCATTCTCCTGCTTCAAAATTATTTCCCAGTACAATGCCTTTGAATCTAGGAAGTATAGCACAGACCTTATGTAAGTAAGGATTTTAACAATATTTGCGGCTTTTTTATTACCATCTAAGCAAAATAGATAATGCTCTGCTGCAAGACTAATCTTCTAGATTTTATTGCACTAAAAAGGCACTTTCCTTTCCTCTGACCAGCGCTATGGTTGATTTGATAGAGATCTCTTGGCTGAATTTATTATTTTCATTACGACATAATCAAAACTCATATTTGTGTTTTAACATTTCTAACAAAATGCATCTTTTTGTTGAATTAACCATTAACAAATCCTAAACAAGTGTGCTTAAAAGTGTGTTAAATTCAGTGTTGCTTTACTTTCTAATACATTTCCCACCCATTATATCCTGTTAGTAATAGAGCAGGGGTCCTCAAACTTTTTAAGCCGAAGACTGGTTCATGGTCCCTTACACTGTTGGGAGGAGGACTATTGCTTGAAAAAAAAATGAATTCCCATGCACACTGCAAATATCTTATTTGTAGTGCAAAATAAATAATAATGAAAGAACAATACAATATTTAAAAAGAAGAGCAATTCTAGCCATCATAAACTGAGCAGTATTTCAATGGGAAGTCTGGACCTGCTTCTGGCAAATGAGATAATCAAGTTAATTAGGATTGTTGTTGTTGTGTACCTTCAAGTCCTTTTAGACTTAGGGCTTCCCTAAATCTAAAGTTTAGGGCAGAGGTTGGCTAAATGATCTTGGAGGGCCGGAGGCCTTAGTTTGGACCACAGGCCTTAGTTTGGGGACCCCTGGAGTAGAGGATTGCTTCCTAAAGGAACAAAAGTTGTGGGCAGGAATATGAAATCACCAAAAGAGAAAAGCAATAAAGGGAAATATTTTTATTTCAAAGTACTGATTAGTATTTTTTTAAATGTGCAAAACATTTGTATGAAAAGGCACATTTATACACATGCACCAGTAATTTAATTATATCAAAATCCTGAGTTTATTCGCCTCCACTGCCACCCGCAAAAAAATTCCATTTGATTGTAACCAATTTACTGTTCACTCTCAAAAATGTACTAGTCACAGAAAATTAAGCTCTCCCCCTCATAACACAACGTCCATATAGAAATTTAACTTCTAATGAGGTAGTCCTAGAATAGTTTGATTGTATGGGCTGCAGTTCTTATATTCATTTACTTAGGTGTACAACCCATTGAACTGTGTGGGACTCCCTTCTGATTAATCAAGCTTAGCATTGTACTTGTAGCTGCATCGATCCAAACTCTTTGTACATCACTCACTGTGTCTCCTGTAACAAGTCACTTTGACTTTCTGATGTCTCAGTTTATGTACCTGTAAAATGCAGGTGCTTTTAAATGTCATCTCCAGGCTAGTGCTAAATTCATGAATACTTGGTGAATTGACAAAAAGTCTCTCAATAAGTGCACAAAATGGTTTTTGCATGCAGGATGCCAAACAGCATGCCCCATCACACGGAGTGATTTTGAATGGGTTTCATTATTAAAGGGACTAGATAAATCCTTGGAAATATACTGATGGCTGTGAGTCAAGGTGCTCAGCATTTGGCTCAAACCGCCAGAAACAGAGGACTCTGTCATTCTTCTGTGGTGCTATAGTGTGGAGCAGTGGTGAGCAACTATTTCATTTCCAGAAGCCTCAGCCATCCTCAATAATGGTAAGAGATTATGGAACCTGTAATACAAAACATTTGGGGAACCAAAGGTTCCCTGCCACTGCTTCAGATGTTCAACTGGGGCTGCTACCAAGCTTTTAGAATAGATCAGTGATTTCACAAAGCCACATTGGGTCCCATCAAGAATTGGATGATCTTACAAGATTAGTTCTTCAAAATGGCATAGATTGCTCACAAGAAAGAAGGGGCATGCAGTACAAGGTGTTTTAATCTAGTATCTACAAGTCCAGGTTGCATGGCTTAGAGACTGGAATTCCAATAACTAGAGAGAAAAAATTAGGAACACAGGTGTTGAATTCCTGTTGACCTAACCTAGAAAGACTGTTTGTTTTATTCTTCTTTTAACAAATGTAGATTAACCAGTTATGGGACCAAATGGCAAATATTCCTCCTCTTGTCTTGCTTTCAGTTTATGGTTTCTTAATTTTGTGCATGTGTGCATATGTATGTAACTGCTTTTTGTTCCTTTGCAGATTGATGCTTGTCGTGGCAGGTTTAAGAGCCATGCAAGTGTGAGAATAAGGTCCTTATTGTATCTTTTTCTCAGTTTTCTGTTGTGAGCACGACTGGAGTTTCAGCTGGCTCCACAGACCAATGACATATATTAACAGAACATGTGTGATGGTATATTTTTTGAGAAATCAGTGAGACATTCCAATGCACCGGTGTTTGCATTAGAGGATTTATGTTGTTACCAGGATTTTCTGAGTTGTATTATTTTCTATTTTCATACTCTAAATGGGCTTTGCTTACAAAACATCACAACTGACTGAGACAAAATGTACTGTACAAAACTGCAGGTAGATTCATTTGAGAACAACTTTCTAAAGAATCCTAAGTTTCCTGTTGTCTTCTTTTGGAACTGTAGTGCATATGTTGAAACTTGTATATCATTTACAGTACTGCGTCCTGTGCCACTGCTGTACCTGATGTATCCAATCTGGATTAAATGGAATATGTGCCACAAAGCACTGAACTTGCTGTACTTTTTTTTTAACAAGAGTCATTTGTTAAATATTCTACTCCTAACGTAGACACCAATATCATAAGCCCTGCAAGATGCCACCAAAGCTGTAGTGGTCCATCAGAATGGTGCTGGAAGTCTAGAAGGAGGACCTGAAACTAATCCAATACAAAGAGCAGAAAACAATTAAAAGGATCTGGTCTCCTGACACATTAGAATCCCACATTAACATCTTTCCACTTCTGTTGAAATTACAGTGGATGAGAATGTAGTAAAAGGCGAACACTCAAGCAGTTCATTTTGCTTGTAACAAAAAAGACACTTGAAATTTACAATTGAAAATTAGCTTACAGCTCATGACTGGGGAACATAAAATGCAATCTACTTTGAAATTTGATCTGTTCAAAATAGGAGCTTAAATGAGGAAAAGAAAAAGACTTTATGGGGGTGTGCTTTTAAACTGTATTTTTTTAGACTTTGGGTCAATAGGCTTTGAAAAATGGAAGAAAGAACACTTAACTTTTCATCTGCACTTGTGCATTCAAATGATGCAGAAGAGGGCCTGCTGAGATGGCCTTTAGAAACAAAAAGCAACTTAAACGAATGAGCAAAGAACACAGCTTGTTCCCTACTTCCCTTTTGCATTCTTTGGATTTAGAGTAGGTTGTCATACTCCAGGGAAGGGAAAGGAGGGAAGAAGATGACTTGCCCATGGACTGAATCTGAATTGCAAAATAATTTTGAAGAGGATTTCAAGTAACAAATGCCAGGCCACCACAGAATGGATGAGTCTGGCTGAGCCAAAGCAGCATCTACTGCTTCCTGTTTATGTGCTGCCACAGGGATGTACAGTTACATAGGATACATTTTTCTTTCCTGTGACTGCCTGGAGAGCTGCACATCAAGTTTCAGCACATTCAAAGTGACACAATAACACCCCCAGCCACCATTTCGGCCATTTTTTTTTTTTTTTTTTTTTTTTGCACATACGTTTTGGGGAAGGGTGGAAGGCTTTGTAGGGTTGGGTAGTTTTGTCTCATTTAGGAACAAAAAAAACTGATAAAGTTTTGTCCCCAATTAAAATAAAATATTGGACCTGAAGCTGTAGAGATCATCTGGGGTATCCAAAGGACTGTACATTATCTCCAAAGGGCCACATGTGGCTTTTGGGTTGCACTTTGCCTCTTTCCCAACCTAAACTCCCCCCCRCCCACCCCCGCAACTAGGTTCTTGAAAGCACAAGAAAATTGGATATAGGCTGGACAACGAAGTCCAGAATCCCTTGAGCATCCAAAGATCCATAATCACATTGGTGTCATGAATAAAACAAAAATAGGTTAGGTCAACTTTCCTAAGTGACATCTGAAGCAATATGCCCTCATGTACAAAAGATATCTTGCTAATGTGAGACAACTTGGTTAAAATAAAAACTTCCCTTAAAAGATCCTCTTTCCCAAAGTATCTTTACATGCCTTTGCTCAGTGTGTGCACCTGCATGTGTAGAGGATTTTCTTCTCCATTCGAGAGAAATGCCTCTTAAAATCAGAGGTAGGAAAATGGATGAAATAAATTTCGCAGTGACTTCCCACCAAATCACTTATTTTGGGTAGCAATTAGTAGGTGTTGGCAGCTGACAGAATGTGGGAAATTCCCCCTTTTCCTACTCAAGCATAGGAGATGGGAAGAAAATCCCTAGAACTATTACTAGTGCATTTGTTTTTTGTTTTTTTTTGCATTTTGTCTCATTAGATTTGAAAAACTATGGAATGGAGTTAATCCACATTCTTTCTCATTGCTGGAGAGATGACAAATCATGGTTCCAAAGGAGCTCAGGAAATTTCCCTCCCAATGTGATCTTTTCCCCTAAGTTTGGAAAGCAACTGGTAATAAATTGCCACTACACAATTGGGGAGATGGAAAGAGCTGTCGCTGGAAGCAGGTAAGGGTACTTCCCTTGGGACCCTCCTGCATTCTCCAAGATGACAACTTCGAAGAATTATCCTCCTGCACTATAGCTACAGCAATTATTTGAACTGGAACTCTGATATAAAGGACTTCCAATATGTATGAGCTATCCCACATAACCAGGGAAGATAAGACATAAGCAGAGTATCTACAACAACTTTAGTGCTGCCATCTTGATGGGGTGGAGTCTTTCCTTCTTTACTCCTTCCTTCCTTTCTCCCCTCACCCATGCTATCCCCTCACCCAGCACGGGTCAGAGTGAGCTTCCGACCAATTTGTGTAGCTTGTTGTCGACCTTTGCAGCTCGAAAGACAGTTGCAACTCTTTTTAACTAGGCTTTGGGTTTTAAATCTATATTCACTCTTGTACTCATTCTACCCCCCCCCCCCATTTTTTTTTCCCCTCTTCTTCTCTCTTTGTCCTCTCTATCCCTTCTCTTTCTCTTCTTCATGCATCACTTTTCTTTTCGGGGTTATCTCAGTTATCACACTTCACACTTCTTAGTAGCTTTGGCTACATATCTCTATTTTAAATGTAAATCGGAAATTTAATAAAGATTATATTTTTTAAAAAAAGAAAGACAGTTGCAACTGTCAAGTAGGAAATTTAGGTACCACTTATATGGGGAGGCTAATTTAACTAATTTACGAGGCGATAAAAAATCTCCAGCAAGCATGCAGGGAATGAGGAAGTACTTCATCAGTGTTGCGAATGGACGGTGAAGTGACAGCTCCCCTGGTGGCCAGAATATCCTCATGAAAGTTGGAATGTTGAGTAGCCTCTAACTGTCTGTCTGTATATGTTGTGGGTCTATGGTATTGAATGTTTGCCATGTATATGTACATTGTAATCTGTCCTAAGTCTCCTGTGGGGTGAGAAGGGCGGAATATAAATACTGTAAATAAATAAACTTTTATGCAGCTATTTGAATGGGTTAAACCCTTGTGCCAGCAGGACTGAAGACTGACAGGTCAGAAGAGCGCATATGAGCTCCCTCTGTCAGCTCCAGCTCCCCATGCAGGGACATGAGAGAAACCTCCTACAAGAATGGTAAAACATCAAACATCTGGGTGTCCCTTGGGCAACATCCTTGCAGATGGGCAATTCTCTCACACCAGAAGCGACTTGCAGTTTCTCAAGTCGCTCCTGAGACACACACAAAAAATCTATTAGAGACAAACTGGCAAATATGAAATTCATCACTGTGGTCTCATCCAACTATGATTCTATGAAAAGTAAGGAACAAGTTAAATACAAGTTGTAAAGATAAATTCCAAAGATTCCTTTGGAAATAAAGGGAAGAGAAATGCAGAACTGAGCATGTAACTCTTGCATTGCTGCGGAAAGGAATTTGATAAAGCTAGATTTCTGTACAATTCCCAGAATCCACTATCCACTGTAGCCCACGCTCATGCAGATTGAAGGATTGAGGTGGGGGGAAGTTGCCATCCAACTTTTCCAAGCTTTGCTGAGCTATCAACAGCTATGATTTGTACATGTTTTTTTCTGCCTGTTACATGCTACATGTCCCACTAGATGGCATCATCTTCAATTGTGGACGATACAAAAATCTAAGATTTGAAAAAGTGCTTTTATATCAGATGGGCATTGTTAAGCTGTTGATTTCAGTGCTCCTTTGTCCATTAACTAGGAGGTGGGCTTTGCAATGTAAAGTCTTAATGGATTTTTAAAATAACTTCTCTCACCGCATTTATTACATTACTCAAGTATTAAGTGGCAAATCATATAACTCCCTCATTTCTTCTTCATGACTCTAGGAAAGTCCACAGCAGAGGCTAGAAATGGAAATTTGCAACGATACAAATCAGACATTGTTATTATCATGTCACTGATACTGTAATTTTAAAGAGTCAGCATACAGAATAAGTTTTAATGTTAATATTGGAAAGTGCTTATTGTACTTTTAAAGGTTGTATATTATTTAATGTCATGACCTATGGCTGGTACAATAAACCATTCATTCATTCATGACACTAGCAATAAACTAGAAATATGATGTAAATTGCAGAATTGGTTTGTTATTTTCATTGCTGGTGGGGCCAGGTTTAATGTTGTTAATATATGATGCCTTAATCTACTTGGGACCTATTTACACAAGATACCCTTTTCCCTTACAGAATGTCATATAATTTCAAAAGCCATGGCAGGTTAGGATTGAATAGCACTTGGACCAATAGGAATACCTGATAGGGCTAGGAAGTAAATCTTGCCTGCAGCTCTAGGGAACCACTGTCAATTGGACTTGATAATAATGGGCTAGTTGAACTAGTGCTCTAAATTGGTATAGAACAACTTCTTACTTTCCTATTTAAGCCCTTGAGATCATTTTAGCGAGGCTCTCTTGTGGCACCACTCTTTGACATCTTGCTCATGGTCGGTCATAGCAGGCTATTTTATGGTGGTGTAGAACAGCATTACTAAAAGTTCAGAGACTTATGCTGGCAAACAAACCCACTGGCTGTCAAGTCCTTGGTGAGTTTTTAGGAAAGAAAAAAATGTAGCCATTAGATAAAAATATGGTACCAGTCCCTGGCACATTGGGGGGGGGGGGGCATTGCTCATACCTCAAATTACATATCTTCAGCAGTAGGTAGAATACAACAGAATAATCTCTCCTCACCTTTTTTTGTGTCAAGTATCTTCTGGTGTGAGAGAACTGGTTATCTGCAAGGATGTTGCCCAGGGGATGCCCGGATGTTTTACTATCCTGTGGAGGCTTCTCTCATGTCCCCGGATGAGAAGCTGGAGCTGACAGACAGGAGCTCACCCCGCTCCCTGGATTTGAACCACTGACCTTTCAGTCAGCAGTCTTGCCGGCACAAGGGTTTAACCCATTGCGCCACTGGAGGCTCCTTGAAGTTGACCTGATGGCAGTTAACAATTTGTACACATTTTACCATAGTACTTTAGGTAACCATGCATTATACTCCTGTGAAATGATTAATGGATATTGTGTTTAGTTAGTTGGTTAGTTATTGGTTGGTTAGTTATTGGTTATTGGTTAGTTACAAATAAAACAATCTAGATGTCTTAAAAAATAAATGTTTAAAATATTCCATGATCTCCTCGCTCAAGAGTTATTTGCCCCTTTAGTTTAGACATAGCAAGATGTTACTGAAATGTTACTAAGAAGAGAGTAGGTTCAATAATTATGATTCCATCTTGTTCTGAAGACATGATACTAAAACCTAAACAAATATCCTTACTCCAGTCATACACAGCTTTGTTGATATAAAGTGACAAGCAAAATTAATGAGTCGGAGCACCCAGAAAATTTGTTTGCACACACTGGAGCTGTGACTATCTTCTCCCATTGCAATGAATTAGTTTAAATGCAAGGAATCATAAGATTACCTGCAAGCCTACTTACAAGCAGGGAAGAGGAGTTAAACCTTGTGACGTCGTCCTTATCAACCTGTGCAGGATCTGAATTAACAAGACAGACACAAATCTCTCTGTGCACCATTACTCAGGCATTTACCTACACAGACTCCCATCATGTCATGATTGGAGATAGGATATAGAGCAGCTGAAACAAAGGAGGGCAATTAGTTTCAGAGTTAATAGGTAATTTCATTTCTAATTAAAGTTTTCCCTTATGCATGGAAAGCCTGATATTGGCACCTACTGGAGGGTGGTCTAATTAGAATAGCTTCATAAGCTTTTTTGAATATATATAATTAAAATCTTTCCTATCACGTGGCCAACCCAATCTAGCTCTGGAAGTGTTAGTTATACAGTTTTAATTAAATTTTATTTAAATCAGCAACATGCATTAATTGAGATATGGCTTTTATTTATGCCACTTCTAAATAGGAGGTACAACTGCAGCTCAGGACGAGCCATGACATTTGGAATAATAAACAGGAAGCAATACACTGGAAGCTTAGTGACAAATGAGAAAGCATTCTTCTCATTTTCAAGCACTTATCAGGTGTTGGCCTGCCTTTTTTTATATGTAACCCTTGAGTAACCTTCAGGCTAGAAAGGCGGAATAGAAATGCTGTAAATAAATAAATAAATAAACCCTGCCATAGCAATATTTCAATAGCTACTACATACAAAACTACAGACTGGGTACTCATTACCCAGGGCATTTGAGACGATGTTTTGGATTTCAATTTTTTTTGATTTTAGGGTATTTGCATATACATACATAATGAGATATTTTAGAGATGGAATCCAAATCTAAAAATGAAATTCACTGAGGTTTACAACTTACACACATAATCTGAAAGTAATTTTAAACAATATTTTAAATATGCTGTGCATGAAACAAAGATTGCGTACAATGAACCATCAAAAAGCAAAGGTGTCTCTATGCTACCTATGGGGACAATTTGGGAGTATTTTAGAATTCCAGATAAGAGATCTTCCACCTTTGGTGTGATGGTTAAATCCCTGCTCAGGTACAACATTCACCAGATGACCTTAGACCAACTGTTACCCTTTGGAATTCCATTAAAGGTAAGACTAAAAATGGGGGGAAAAGTTAGGACAAAAAACCCCCCCCTTTCTTTCCAAAACGTGAAAGCTGAAACAGTAGGTATCAGCTTTCAGATATGGACTTTTTTTCCTGACTTGTATGCAGGCAGGATGTAAACAGCACAATCTATCGAATAGTAAAGGATTAAATAATATGCTTCATCAAAACAGACAACATACTCTTGTTTTCATTTTAAAAAAATTTGGTCATGCAACAGCTTAAAGTTCAAATATATAAAGTTTAATCTGAAACTCCTCAATAGAAGCATCACTTAGTTTAGCCATGCTGGTTGGGACTGATGAGACTTGTATTTTCACTCCTGCTACCTTTAAGTTATTTTTACATATTTAAAAATAGTAAAGTTAGCCACCAGATGTTTATTTCTGAACAGAAATACAGATATCTTGAGATAGACCAGGTCCAGAACCTTCTAGAAGTACACATTAAACTCATCTAAAACTACTAAGATTGGAAACTGCTGTATCTTAGCAGGCAGCCTGCCCATCACTTGAAATCTAGAAATTAGCTTGGTAAAGGTAAAGGTTTCCCTGGACATTAAGTCTAGTTGTTGTCCAACTCGGGGGGGGGGGGTGCTCATCTCCATTTCTAAGCTTTAGAATTGGCATTGTCCATAGAAACCTCCAAGGTCATGAGGCCAGCATGACTGCATGAGCGCCGTTACCTTCCTGCAGAAGCGTTACCTACTGATCGACTCATATTTGCATGTTTTCAGACTGCTAGGTTGGCAGAAGCTGGGTATAACAACAGGAATTCACGCCACTCCCTGGATTCAAACTGCAAACCTTTTGGTCAGCAAGTTCAGCAGCTCAACAGTTTAACCTGCTGCACCACCAGCAATTTAACCAGGCATAAGGAAGAAAAAGTTCTTGATCAAATGTATATGTATATCCCAAAATAAAACGGAACAAAAGCCATGAGCAATTATCATGTAGCTAATAGCACATCAGATTGATTGTAATGCCTTGGAAAACTCTTTCTACAGAAAGGAAAGAACACGAAGATTGTTTTTGCACTATTTACTAGCAACACTGCTAAACCTCTTCACCTTCTGATGAATATATGGAACAGAATACAAATGGAACAAAATGGTAATATAAAAGTGTGTGAATCAAACAAAACCGACCAAAGATATTGACATGTTTAGACTGGAGGAACAATCTTAACACATTCTTCCCATTATCGATAATACCCCAACAATTCTTCAAAATAGACTGCATTGGCATGATAGGCAGTCACCATGTTGGGTGGTCTTTGGTACCTTTGATAATATGAATGAGAAGCTTCTTTATAATAGTCCCGCCATGCCCGATAATACATTCTCCAGTATTCCTCAGAACTCTGGTTCTCTGAACATTTATCATGAACTGTATTTTCTAAAGAGTTTTTCTTGGAAGGCTTGGTGATGGGAGCACGGCAGCTTTGCCTCTTCTGTTTGCTTTCTTTCATCTTCTTCTGCGTCAGAGATGCCTCTTCAACGCACTCAGGGAGACTGGCTTCCTGACTCTGACTTTGCATAGGCTGATGTGTTGAGAGAATGTTGTCACTATAGAGTGAAGATGAAGAGCGTTTGACATAGGACTGGTCCTCTGGGCAATATGCAGATGATCCAGAACTGTGAGAGCTACTATCGCTACCAGATTCTTCAGTCCATACCGCAGTAGTTGTTGCAATATTCATGCCAGATTCCATTCCTGTTGAATCAAAGCTATCACTTTCTGGGTGTTTAGGCTGCTCTCCAGGTCCTGTGAAAGTTCTTATGATCTCCACCTCTCTTTCTAACCCTTCCTTAATGAAGTAATCATAGTCATCAACAAACCCAGCCATGCTCCATGCATTGGTAAACGGACATTTCTTATAAGAGGACAAGCAAGGGATCTTAGGGAGCATGTTTTGTAAGGTTTTCTTGTCTATCTCCTCCTTACACTGTCCAGCCATATGGAGATCAGGTTCCACCTGGACTTTCTGCTGTGAGACCCTATAAGACTGCTGTTTCTCAGTTAAAGCTGCTTCATTGTGCTTTACTCTGCTTTTAAGTAGCTGCTTTTTCTTGAAAATTTGCTTTGGTTCTGCAGCAGGAACATTTTTACAAGCAACACGAGAAGCCTGCGCTCTGGAGCTTAATGTTTTATGTTGTATTGCCCCTTCCAGGCTTTTTGTTGGTATCACAGATGCACACAGTGAAGCATTGGGATAAGGGACAGAAGTGACTTCTACACCCCAACTTTCAAAGCGTTCCATCAGGTCAGGGGGGACAGGTTCTTCAAAAGAGAAAAATGCAGTTAGAAACTACACATCGTGTGTAACAGAATCATAGAGTCGGAAGAGACCTCATGGGCTATCTAGTCCAACTCCCTTGCATGCAAGAAAAACACAATCAAAGCACCCCCAACAGATGGCCATCCAACCTCTGTTTAAAAGCCTCCAAAGAAGATGCTTCCACCACACTCTGAGATAGAGAGTTCCACCGTTGAACAGCTCTCGTGGTCAGGAAGTTCTTCCTAATGTTCACTTGGAATCACTTTTCCTTTCATTTGTAACCATTGTTCTCAGTCCTAGTCTCCAGAGCAGCAGAAATCAAGTCTGCTCCCTCTTTCTTATGACATTCTTTCAAATATTTAAACAAGGCTATCATGTATTGTTGAAGGATTTCATGGCCAGAATCACTGGGTTGTTGTACGTTTTTCGAGCCGTATGGCCATGTTCCAAAAGCATTCTCTCCTGATGTTTCACCTGCATCTATGGCAGGCATCCTCAGAGGTTGTGAGGTCCTCTGGAGAGAATGCTTCTGGAACATGGACATACAGCCTGAAAAACGTACAACAACCCATGGCTATCATGTCTTCCCTCATCCTTCTATGCATGTAATTAACACAGGGACATGATTCAGAGTACACCAATCAATCATTATTAACATTATTTTAATTTTTCAAATCTTTTATCATGTCTGCCCACTCTTAACCCAAACATGCCTTCCATTCTGTAGCAAAAAATAAATCAGGCCTGATGTATATTTTAGTTCTTTCATATCCTATAACTATTTTTACGCACAACCGAGAATTTTTAAATTAAGAAGCTGAAACACAGAAACATTCATCTTCAATTAAATATTACTATATGTGTCAAGACATAATTTGTGTTAAAAGTACTTGTCAGCTTACCAAAAAAAATTGGAAAGACCAAGACAAAGACATCTGCTTTAAGTCAGAAAACATTATACTGTACAGAAAAATAGTCCCAGTGGGAAGTTAACCAATGGTCACATATAGATTAACTCCTACACCCTACTCAAAGGGGTGTATAACAAAATAACCTTGGAACATGCATTCCTCTAAATCAGTGGATCCCAACCTTCCAGGTGTTTTGGAATTCAGCTCCCACAATTCCTAACAGCTGGTAAACCGGCTGGGTTTTCTGGGAGTTGAAGTCCAAAACAACCAGAGGAAAAAAGGTTGAAATGACTGCTTTAAATGCATTTAAAGGAATAGATTTCAGACAAATCCAGATGACTTAATTTTTTGCTGAATTGTTCTGGCAGATACATAATATCCTCATGGATTTTCACCTTGTCTAAAATCACTTTCTTTTATTTGCTGAAGAGAAGTACTTCTTAATATTTATAATGTACTGTAAAAGGTTCATGTCTTCTATTAGAAGCGGTTTCAAATTAAAGTATTTTAATACAACAGGTTATTTGCTGGGACAATTAATCACTTTAATCTTAACAATAATACCATTATCAAAGTTAATGCCAAAGGATTTAATTTTATAAACTTCAAAATATGAAAAGCGAAAAACTCAAAACATAAAGTTTCAAAAATTGAGTAACAGCATTATCCTACAAATGCCTACACAGAAGCAGGTCTCAATGATTTCAGTGCAACTTGATCGAAGGTAAGCATGACTAGAACCCCAGTCTATTTTAATGTCTTTGGGATGCCATTCAAAATTCAAGCACCACTTTTTCACACGTACAAAAAGATATACCTGGTAAAGGAAGAAGGTGAAGGTTACATTTCTGTGCAATTTTCATCATCATGTTTTCTTCTTCTCCACGGCAGCAATATGTCACTGAGAGTCCCAAGGTTCCTGGAACAAGGAAGAAAGATAAATTAATAAGGCCAGTGTTATAAATTCAACATCTGCTGCTGCCCAGCAAATTAAAAATAGCATTTACCAAAGCGTCCTGCTCTTCCAATCCGATGCATGTATGTTTCCCAGTCCAAAGGAACATCTAAGTTGATGACTAGATTCACCTTCTCAGCATCAATGCCACGTGACGTCTGGAGGAAAGGAAGGGATCAAAGCCAGTTGTGAGCAGAAGACATGCCAGCACGTGTAACAGGCCATCCATTCAGATGTCCTCCCATTTACTCCAGTCTGTGGTGAGCTCCACAGAATGAAAAGGTGAAAATGCAAAACACACACACATGCAGTAATTCAGCTTCTGTAGTACAACAGATTGCATTCCTTAATTATTTATTCTAAATTATTCTGAAAAGTCAGTAGTCACAATTCAAGAAAGAGTCAATTTCAATGAAATTAAAATCTTGCACAAATTTCAATAAACATGTTGTTTGACTTGATGCTGGGAAGACAGTGCAGCTTCATATGGACACTCAATCAAGTCTAACTGTGCTATCTTATTTAACAGAAATTGTGGTGCACAATTTTTGTGATATGAGTACAATGAACACAATTGCCAAATTTATGTCTATGCCTAGAAGCAGGTGAAAGGCCCCTTCTCCTTCACCCAAACTGCCAGTCCTGGCTTTGGGGGAGAGAAGAGGCAGGTACTGCTCCATCATACTCCGGCCCAGGAGATTAAAGGACCTCTCCCCATCCCAAATAAATAAATAAGGGGGAAGAGAAGTATTATTGCCTCAATTGTGGAAGGAAAATCTATACATAGTTCATTTTTTAGAAGCAAGACTGTCCTAGTTTTAACTTTAATGTGACTGCTTCTCAGTTCGGTAGAAAATATGTTTGCAAGCTATACATTAAGTTGAAATAGGAAAATCTCACCAAATCAGTTGAAATCAAGACCCTGCAATGGAACTGCTTGAGTTTAGCCATGGCATCAAGTCGCTGGTTCTGATTCATACTGCCTAAAGGCACAAATTTCAAAACGAAGTATGAGTGTGGGAGGACAAACCGGCTTACTAGCAGAAGCATTAGGGCAACTCACTGTTCAATGCCCAGACTGATAAAATTCAAATATGAATTCACAAAAATTATGTCTACTACACATGAGTGTCTAATGCAGCTGCAGGGCATGATGAAAGTAGAATGCAATTTGAAACAGAAGAATCATGTCTTACAAAACTATGCTGAGTATTCTTTGAACACAAAGAAATGCTCTTTTGTTCATACTATCTTATATTAATACTGCAATTTTACATATCCACACAAATATTAATCTTGCTCAGTTTAATGAACTTATTGCCATACGAGTACGTACAAGGAACTTAAAATCAATCTGCCTCATAATATACACTAATGTTTATAAACCTGCTTCAGCTGCCATGAAATTAGAAATGGGACCTACTTGCCTGAAATACATTCAGCAGGAAAACCTTTGGATGTCAGTAAAGCTGCCAGGTGCTGGGCTCTTCAGTGAGAAAGACAAAATCAAAGTATCAATACCAAAGTAATGGCTATTTAACTTACAACAGGGTTAGCATTTCAGAAAGAGGTTTATCTTTAAAATACATTTAAACTTATATATCACATGTATCCTAGAAAACCAATCTTAAATATATTTTTTTGTCCTGATGATATTATCTCTAACCATGCACATTTGGCATTTGCTTCAGGGAAAAAGAAGGAAACACCAGGTAACTGCTTTTATTTTGTCAGCTTATTATATAATTTAAAGGAAAAGCAAAATACCGGCTGTGTAGATTTGAGAAGACCAGGGCCTGGTTGAAAGGAATCTTGCTGAACAGCTCCAGTAAATGTTCGGCCTTCTCCTCAAAAGTTTTATGAGGCAATGGGTGAGAATTCACAACTTTGAAGTACTGCTTCAGTCCTAACCAAGACAGGATGAGCTTATATATCATACAAAACAAAGTAAAAACACAAAGGTACCTAGATGCAAGAATAAACATAAACATTAAACATAAACATTAAATGCTTTCACCAACTATATCTGACCAAATTTTTGCTGTTCATAGCAATAGTTCAGCAGAAAGCTCAGTTTATTCTAGATATTTATTTACTGATACACTAAGCTGTAGAACCAAGTGTACATTTATTAAATACTGGGGGTTGCACAGTGGTGGGCAAATGGAAATCTACTGAATCTCTAGGTGATTTTCAGTATTCCACCAATGATTTCTAATCTGCCGTTGTTTAACAATATGTTGTTGAAATGAACATGATCTGGAGTAAGGAGACAGCTCTGACATTAAAAGTAAATTAGTTAATTCCAAGTGACTTTTTATACCATTATCATTTACAAAAACAAAAAACAAAACAAAACAAAAAAACCAGAAATATAAAAATCACATCATACATACCAATGAGGCTTGGGTCAGTGGGATTTAATCTCACAAAAGTGGGATCTCTCATGTATCTAGTCAGGGTATTAGCCAGTGATTCTGGATAGGTGGCTGAAACAGCTAACATCTGCTTATTGGCTGGCAGAGAAGAATAAATCCAACTAAGAAAAAAAGGAGAAAAAAGAATGCAGCAATTTAAAAATGCTTCAGCTGGTATTTCACTTTAGGCTGCATTTTTCAAAAGGAAGAATAGTCTAATTTAGAAGTGATCTACGTAAAAGCTACTATGACCAGATGTGGCTATTTATTTACTTTATTTATAACCCCCTCAAGGTGGCTTACAATTGTAAGCAACAATTCAATGGCATGTAAATCATACATATATATATTAAAACAACAATTAAAAACATCAAACCTTAAAAACAGTTGTTATAATCACAGCTTGTTCCCACTCCATAAATGAACCCAGACATTTCTTCAAAGTTCTGCCTTCCCCCAAAGATAAATGGGTAAAAGAGTTATGGCTGGGTGTCATTCCAATATTGATAATATCATACTCCAGACCAACACCTGATTTCCCCTAGAAGCTTTATACAAATTTAGATGAACTGAACACAGGTGGGAATCCTGTGGCACTCCACTACAAGTTTACAAGAATACACTGAATCCACTACAAGTTTACAAGAATACACTGTACTCTTCAGACATTCTAAGACTCCAGAGGAGTTACGTGAACTTGCATTTCGGAAGCCAGATCCTTTTGCAAAATAAAAGAGATGATTGTGGCACAATGTTCACAAAATCTATGTCATAAAGCGTACACCAACAAAGCTTCCTTACTAACACATTTTTCATTATCACTCGTACTTGATTTGCTCCTGGAAACTGCCTTCTTCCAGAAGCTTATCAGCTTCATCAAGAATGAAGAGACGGATGCTGGATGTATTCAGGAAGTCCAGCTCTATGAGTTGTTTTATACGACCTGCCAATCAGAAAAATCACCTTAATGCCTCATGTATCTATGGAGACAACTATATTATATAAATCTATAGAGATTGAGTATAATTTGTACAAAATGCTTGAAACCAAACATGTAGAGTATTTCAAATTTTGAAATACTTGCATAGACATAAGGTATCTTGGAAGTGACATTGAAGTCTAAACGTGAATTTCATTAATGTCTTAAATATCCCTTATACACATAAACTGCGGGTAATTTTATACACAACATTTTAAATAATTGTGTGCATAAAACTAAATTTGAGTACACTGAACCATCAGACAGTGAATGTGCCATTTACTCAGCCACCCATGCAAATATTTCTGGAGTTACTTTGATTCCAGAATTCCAGTTAAGGGACATTCAATCTGTATAACATACCCAACTGTATAAACTCACATTAAAGAAACTTTAGAAATAGCAATCTTTAGAAATATGAGTTTTTAAAAACATGCTTTCTGTAGCTCAGGGTATCAACTGTAACACAATTACAGAAGACATGATCTGCCCACACATTTTGTAGCACCTGATAAAAATCAATGAAATGCTATTTTTTTCTTACCAGGGGTGCCAACTGCAATATGACACTTTTTCAACCTTAATTTATCTTGATTTAAAGGTGTGCCTCCAATAAAAACATGACACTCCAAGCCTTCCATTTTGATCCCAATAGTTGTAATAACTGCATGTATCTGTACAGCAATTTCTCGAGTGGGAGCCAAAACTAGAATCTGAAATAAATAAAGTTCAACTGTGAATAAAACAGACATTGAGAATTGTGTCAGAAGGAAATTGAGAATACAGTTATAATGTATTTTTTTTTAAAAAAAAACACAACGTTAAAAACTTGGCATTATGTTAAATTTCCTTTGACCAGAAACTGGCCACTTGGAATGCCTCTGGTGTCACTGTAAAAAAGTCCTCCATTGGGCATGTGGCAGGGCTCAGGTTGCATTGTAGTAAGTGGTCTGTGGTTTGCTCTTCTCCACACTTGCATGTTGTGGACTCCACTTTGTAGCCCCATTTCTTTAGATTGGCTCTGCATCTTGTGGTACCAGAGCACAGTCTGTAAAGTGCCTTCCAAGTCACCCAGTCTTCTGTGTGCCCAGGAGGGAGTTTCTCATCCGATATCAGCTACTGATTGAGATTCCAGGTTTTAACTTGCCCCTTCTGGATTCTCACTTGCTGAGGTGTTCCTGCAAGCATCTCTAATAGATCTTAGAAAGCTATTTCTTGGTTTAAGATGTTGGCATGCTGGCTGATAATTGTACAGAGTTTAAACAGATACGGCAGGTTCTCTACCATAAGAATAAATAGCACAGATCAATATGGACAGGTGAACAAATCAAAATGCCTGTTAATAACTATGTTATGTTGTTATTTGTAAGTTTGCCTTTAACGTTCACGGCATTTTTGTGCTTTTCTAAAAATGTACACTTTGATATAAAGCCCACCTGTGTAACTGGACTTTCCAGGATAAGAGAATCAAGTGCAACAGTAGAGAAGACGCAGGTTTTACCAGTACCAGATTTTGCTTGTACAATGAGATCTGAAAGATAAAGAAAGGGACAAGGGTCCATCACAAGGAAGCCAGGTCAGGGGACTTGCATGAATAAGAAATGAAGTTTTCAAAGTGAGATGGGATGGTATTCTAGAAACCTTATTAGCAATTCCTCAATCACAACACCTGCTATGGTGAACAACCTATCTTAAAAGATTAACATCATTACTGCACTATCCTTTGCAAAGAGCATGGGCTTATTGAAGCTTTTTCAACTCACACAATGTGCCAGTACATCTAGTAGACTGGGTAATCATCACAAAATTTGTTTTCGGAGAAGCAGACATATTATACTTATACAACAAAAACATCTAACCTTCTTAAACCATAACAAATTTATTAAACCCCCTGTTTCAGCAGCTTCACCGGCTGCCAGTCTGTTTCCGGGCACAATTCAAAATGCTGTTTATGACCTTTAAAGCCTGAGATGTTTCAGGTACAGGCTATTTGGCTGACCACATCCCCTTGTACAAGCCTGCCCTGCCTTGAGATCTTTAGGAGAGGTCCTTCTCTCGGCCCCACCTCCATCTCAAGCTTGGTTGGTGGGAACATGTGGCTGCTCCACGACTCTGGAACTCCTTCCCCAGGGAAGCCAGAATGGCCCACTCCCTGCTGCTCTTCTGGCAGCAGGTTAAAACCTTTTTATTCAGACAGGCTTTTAAAGAGGCTGCTGTGGTTTTTAACTTTGAATATGTTCTAATGGATTTTAACTGTGAATTTTTAATACTGTTAGGTTTAATTCTGTTTAAATGTTTGCATATTTGTATATTTTAATTGTATGTTAATGCTTTTATGTTAAACTGCTTTGAGTCTCCTTCAGGAGAGATAAAGCAGGGTATCAATAAATATAATAACAACAAGAACAACAATAAAGATAATAATAGGTTAAGTTGTCATTACAGCAGAAGTACTGTGACTAGGACTCAGGGGTGTGTATATTTGCCATTAAGTTACCAGTTGACTTTTGGCTAAGTCATGGAGAACCACAGATTATGGGAGCTACAGTTCAAAAACATGATGGGGACCCTTTGGGAAACCCCAACACTTGAATAACCATAGATGCATTTAAAACTATAGAACTGATGCAGTCTAACGCTTCAACTGGCATGGCTCAATGTCTTCTCCACCAAACCACTCTCCTGATTCCATAGCACTAAGCCATAGCAGTTAAAGTGGTTGTCAAAGTGCATTAATTCTATAGTGTAGATGCACCCCATGTGTTTGGCAACCTCCAAAAGCTAAATAAAACCACCAATCCCACTAAGCTTCATTCCCCTGAAATGTCCTTTTCTGCAATACAAAAGTTCATGTCTTGATCTCGTTTCTGACAGTAAATGAAGAATCCATTCAATTTAGAAATTAATTACAATTTAAACTTTTCTTAAATTTTAATTTTATTTTGTTACAAATGAAGCAACCAGAGCCTTAACGAGAAGACTTCTTGAGGTTGCTATAAGTTTTTTGGGTGTATGGCCATGTTTCTGAAGCATTATTTCCTGACATTCTGCCTGCATCTATGGCAGGCATAATGTCAGGAGAGAATGCTTCTGGAACATGGCCATACAGCCGAAAATCAACCCAGTGATTCTGGGCAGGAAAGCCTTTGACAAGACTTCTTGAGTTTCCCCAGTCTGAGCAGAAAAAAAATAGTAAAGCACAGACAAGAGAGCAGGGAGGACCTGCTCTCAATCCCACCGACATCGCAAACGCGACTGGTGAGGATGAGAGACAGAGCCTTCTCAGCAGTGGCCCCCTGCCTGTGGAACGCTCTCCCCAGAGATATCAGAGTGGCCACATCCCTTCTGTCTGTCAGAAGGAAAATCAAGACCTGGCTATAGGACCAAGCGGTTGATCAGTGAGCAACAAGTAAAAGGAGATTTTAACACTTACGGCAATGATTTGACCCAGACTGGATTTTGGACTCCAATTTTTAATAGGCGTGTGTTAATTAATTGTTTTAACTAATGTTTTTCATATTTTTCAATATGTTTAATGTACTGTTGATTGTTTTATGATGATGACACCATATGATGCTTTGTGAAGCCGCCCTCGGAAGGGTGGGATATAAATATAGGAAATAAATAAATAAATAATAAATAAGACGCAAAAAACCCCAAAATAAACTAAGGCCGCACCTCTTCTACACTGTAGACTTAAAGCAGTTTGTCACCATTTAACTACCATGGCTCAATACTATGGAATCTATATAAATAAAAATGTAATGTTCATTTGTGGGATTAACAGAACTCAAAAACCACTGGACGAATTGACACCAAATTTGGACACAAGACACCTAACGACCCAATGTATGCCCTTCACTCAAAAAAAATAATTTTGTCATTTGGGAGTTGTAGTTGCTGGGATTTATCGTCACCTACAATCAAAGAGCATTCTGAACCCCACCAACGATGGAATTGAACCAAACTTGGCAAACAGAACTCCCATGACCAACAGAAAATACTGGAATGGTTTGGTGGGCAGTGTCCTTTGGTTTTGGAGTTGTCGTTCACCTACATCCAGAGAGCACTGTGGACTCAAACAATGATGAATATGGATCAAACTCCACACGAATACTCAATATGCCCAAATATGAACACTGGTGAAGTTTGGGGAAAATAGAATCTTGACATTTGGGAGTTGTAGTTGCTGGGATTAATAGTTCACCTACAATCACAGAGCATTCTGAACCCCACCAAGATAGAACTGGCCCAAACCTCCCACACAGAATCTCCATGTGGGCCACAGCAACGCGTGGCAGGGGACGGCTAGCCATGAATATTTTCGTTTTACATGGTCTTTAGCTCCCTATGCCAACAAAAATGCTGGTGCCTCGCCAAACTACAACTCCCTGGACCCCATATCACTGAGCCATGGCTGTTAAAGTGATGTCAAACCGCAATGAATGTACAGTCTAGATCAGGTATGGGCAAGCTTTGGCCCTCCAGGTGTTTTGGACTTCAACTCCCACAATTCCTAACAGCCTACCGGCTGTTAGGAATTGTGGGAGTTGAAGTCCAAAACACCTGGAGGGCCAAAGCTTGCCTATACCTGATCTAAATGCAGCTTAAGAGCCAAAAGGTCCTCCCCTCACCTAAACCACATCTCCCGAGAGGGATGGCTTTCAGCTGCACGGGAGAAGGCCTCAGAAACCCGGCAGCCTTCAGTCCTTCCAGCACCAGAGGGGACAGCAGCAGCGAGCTGAAGTCTTCGGGCCCTTCTTGCAAGTGAACGTCCCGGGTACGAAGCCAGCCCTCAGCGTGAGATGCTCCCACAGCCGCCATCTTGGGCAGAATGCTGCCGCAAATCTCGCGAGAAGTCCGGACGAGAATGAGAGCAGGTTCTCCTCACCTCTGCATTGTCCCGCGCGGAGAACGCCAGCGAATGAGAACAAACCATTTGAGAGAGGAGGGGTGGAAGGAGGAGGAATAGCAGTTTGGCGCCCAAAGGGAGGGGAGGGAGTAAACGAAGGAGCCTGATTGGACAAAGATTCAGAAGGTGGGCGAAACCATTGGGCAAGCTGAAGGGGAGGGGCGTAGTTCAGTCTCGTTCAAACTTGGGCTTACTGAACTGCACAGTTGGGAGAATAGGAACCATGTGTCATAATAGTTTATTGTTATCTGTATATTTATCATCCTTGGGGCTGTAATCCTGACAGATACTGTGCAAAGTCTCTAGTAATCCGTGACATTTCCTTTTTGAATGAATGACGCACATACGAGGGTTGACTGAAAAGTAATGCCTCCACCTTCGTTACTTGGGTTTGGAGGGGAATATTTTAATAAATCAAACACAGAAAAAATGAACAAAATTTGGCTACCAGTATTAAAAAGAACTCTAAAATTACAACAGCAAAACAACAGAGGAAACAATCTGGGGCATCTAATCACCTCTCAACAAAAGATTGCCCCAGGCACTGCCAGGCCATCAAAGGCTAATCAAGGTGGTCAGTTGAAACATTCACACTTAGCTCCAGCAGACAAGAGTCCTTTGTCCCACCCTGGTCATTCCACAGATACATAAACCCTTCTTCCTAGTTCCAACAGACCTCACTACCTCTGAGGATGCTTGCCATAGATGCAGGCGAAAGGTCAGGAGAGAATGCCTCTAGAACATGGCCATATAGTCCGAAAAAAACCTACAACAACCCAGTGATTCCGGCCATGAAAGCCTTCGACAATACAGAAATAATCCTTTACCACTATTCGCTTTTCCACATAATCACCAGACAATTGGATACATTTCTGCCAACAATGAACAAGTTTTCTGAAGCCGTCACGGAAGAAGTCGACACTCTGTTTGCGCAACCAGCGTCTCACAGTTTTCTCAACGTCTTCATTAGAAACATAATGATGTTCCTGCAGATCTTCTTTCATTATTGGGAGCAGGATAGAAGTCAGACAGGGCTAAATCTGGACTGGGTTGTTGTAGGTTTTTTCGGGCTATATGGCCATGTTCTAGAGGCATTCTCTCCTGACATTTTGCCTGCATCTATAGCAAGCATCCTCAGAGGTAGTGAGGTCTGTTGGAACTAGGAAAATTGGGTTTATATATCTGTGGAAGGACCAGGGTGGGACAAAGGAGTCTTGTCTGCTGGAGCTTGTCCCACCCTGGTCATTCCACAGATTGGGTCATTCCACCCAATTTTCCTAGTTCCACCAGATCTATGCTTGCCATAGATGCAGGCCAAACATCAGGAGAGAATGCTTCTAGAACATGGCCATATAGACCAAAAAAACCCTACAACAACCCAGTGATTCCGGCCATGAAAGCCTTCAACAATACATTAAATCTGGACTGTATGGAGGATGTCGTACAGTGGCGAGATCCAGTCTCTGAAGTTTCAAATCTGTGTGCTTTCATTTCAGGCGTCAGCATCCTGGGTACCCATTGTGCACAGATCTTCCGATAGCCAAGCAAAGCAATAATGTGACCCACACATTCTTGTGAAATGCTGATTATGCTTGAAATTTCTCTCTGAGTTATACGACGATCATCCTGAATCAATCTGTCAACCATTTGCTTGTGAAACTTGGTGGTTGCTGTCACAGGATGTCCAGCTCTTTGTTTGTCACGCAAGTCAGATTTTCCCACCTCAACATCTTCAAACTTTCTCGCCCAATGATGCACAGTACTCACATCAACACAATCACCATAAACAGCCTGCATTATCTGATTAATCTCCTTTGGGGTGACACTTTCTGCTGTCAAGAATTCAATGACTACACATTGCTTAAGTCGCATTGACCGACCATCTGCGCAGGGTTCCATACTTCACACTTTAACAACACAACTGTTCAATGTTAAGGCTTCCCACCAAAATGGAACTGTCGAGGAGAGCCTATTGAACAAGCCAGTACCTGCCGCATACCAGTACTGCCATCTGTTGAGTTACGAAGGTGGAGGCATTACATTTAATTGAACCCTTGTATATCTAATTGGGTGCAGGGGGGGGGGGTTGTATTTGTTTCTAAGTTATTAGCTGCCTTGAGTTCCTATAATGATGATGATGATAATGATAGTAATAATGGTGAATTAGAGCGACACATCTATTTGGAATAAATCCATGGATATAAATCTTTCAATTCTGCTACACTGTAGAATCAATGCAGTTTTGGCACCACCAACTGCCAAGGCTCAATGCTATGGAATCAAAGGAGTTGTAGTTTGATAAGTTCTTTAACCTTCTCCTCCCCAAACTTAAATTCCTAGGATTCCATAGAGTTGACCCATGTCTCTTTAAAGTGGTGTCAAATTGCATCAATTCCACACTGGATGGACCCCTTGGCTTCAAATAGGAATGGGATGGGCATCCTCAAGCAAATCTTTGTCCTCTTTCTATGGCCCTTTCCACACATCTGAATTAAAATCCCACATTACCTGCTTTGAACTGGGATATATGGCAATGTGGACTCAGAAAACCCAGTTCAAAGCAGATATTGTGGGTTATTCTGCCTTGATATTCTGGGCTATATGGCTGTGTGGAAGGGCCCTATGTTGATGTTGATTGTCCTTTTTTATTATGTTCTAGGCTAGTTTGAGAACAGTTTCGAAAAAGGAGCATTTTCAAAAAATAACATTCTGATTATATTGCTGGGGGGTGGGTTAAAATTTGTTGTGATATGGGTGAGAGAATGATAATTTGAAATAGTGGTCAGCAGTATTCTTTAGTTAAATTCTATATTAGACTCATAGAGTTAGAAAAGACCGTATGGGCCATCCACCTTAACTCCTGCCATGCAGGAAAAGCACAGTCAAAGTACCCCTGACAGACGGCCATCCAGTCTCTCTTTAAAAGTTTGCAAGGATGGAGATTCCATCACACTCTGAAGCAGTTCCACTGCTGAACAGCTCTCACAGTCATGAAATTCCTCCTAATTTTCCAGTGGAATCTCCTTTCCTCTAATTTTAACCCATTGCCCCATGTTCTGAGTCTACACTGCCATATATTCCAGTTCAAAGCAGAAAATGTGGGATATTATTCAGCTGTGTGGAAGGGGCCCTAGTCTCCAGAGCAGCAGAAAACAAGTCTCCTCCCACTTCCTTATGACATCCTTTCACATGTTTATACATGACTATCATGTCTCCTCTCAAACTTCTCTTCTGCAGGCAAAAATACCCATCTATTTAAGGCACTCATCATATTTTATTTATTTATTTCTGGTACTTTTACCCCGCCCTTCTCAACCCCCGAAGGGGGACTCAGGGCGGCTTACAGAAAAGATAAATTCGATGCCTATACAAATTACACATAATATACAAAAACGTAATTAAAACAGTTATCACAATTAAAACAGTCAACAACCAGTACATAACACATCATATAAAACATCATATAAAAGTCATTCTTATAATCAGCGTTTCGTTTTCCAGAGTTCCATAGATCCAATCCGTTAATCATTTCCTAGTCATCATCGAAGTTCTTTCTTTATCTGCCCGCTTGTCCAAATGCCTGGTCCCAGATCCATGTTTTTAGTTTTTTCCTAAAAGAAAGGAGCGATGTTGCAGATCTAATTTCCCCAGGAAGTGAATTCCACAGGTGAGGGGCCACCACCGAGAAGGCCCTGCTCCTCGTCCCCGCCAATCTCACTTGTGATAGAGGCGGGGTCGAGAGCAGGACCTCCCCAGAGGATCTTAGGCTCCGAGGTGGGACGTAGAGGGAGATCCGTTCGGACAGATACACTGGGCCGGAACCGTATAGGGTTTTATAGGTCAAAACCAGCACCTTGAATTGTGCTCGGAACTGGATCGGCAGCCAGTGGAGCTGACACAACAGGAGGGTGGTATGCTACCTGTATGACGCCCCGGTGAGTAGTCTGGCTGCCTCCCGCTGGACTAGATGGAGTTTCCGAGCAGTCTTCAAAGGCAACCCCACGTAGAGTGTGTTGCAGTAATCTAATCGGGATGTAACAAGAGCGTGGACCACCGTGGCCAGATCCGACTTCCCAAGGTACGGGCGCAGCTGGCGCACAAGTTTTAGTTGTGCAAAAGCTCTCCTGGCCACCGCCGAGACCTGGCATATGGCATTGCCCTCCTCTGGAGACCTCACAACTCACAAGGTTTTCATTTTGAATTGCTATTCTTAGCAAATGATAGTTATTAGTTACTGGTTTAAATAAATTCACATAACAAGTTTGTTGTTGGGTTGCTGTGAGTTTTCCGGGCTGTTAATAGATATTGGAAATACTGATTCTCACCAGAAGAGGGTGCAATCTGCATATAGGATACATCTTTTATACAGTATTGATGTTTGATGTGCACGGGGAGTATAATTCAAAATAGTTGCTCGGCATCAAAAATAATCCCACTTCTTATTAAAGAGAAGGAGTAACAAAATAACCAAGCGCATGTGAAGGCATACAAAATCAGGTGTGGTGATCGAACATTTGGAAATAAGCCACATGAATGTTGCAAGAGCAGTAGCTCAAGGAACATGCGTTATATTTCTTATGGGTAAGAATTTAGATTAACTAGTATATTTGGTTAGTCTTTGAACTATTTTATCACAACATGAAGACATCTCAGGAAATCTCATTCTTGTGTTATGGGCCTGACTCGTTTTCATTTCCGGATCTAGACAATCAATATATGACCTGTGTCCACCCATATAATACAGTTAAGGGCAGTTCAAACTGCATTATATGAATCTATAGTGGCCACATAATGCAATTCAGACTGCATTATTTGGTAGTGTGTATCCAGCCCAAATCATAATTTTAAACTTTTTTTCAGCCATGGTTTACCAGAAAAGTTACAAAGAATTCCATGACTGTAAAATATAACTCTTTTCAGCTTTAGATATAACTTTTTGCAGGGGCTCATTGAGACCTGAAAATTACATTCAAGGGTTTTTCCAGAGGAAAAGACTGGAAAAGTCCAATTTAAGACAACCGGGGTTTTTTGTTTTGTTTTTTAGATTATCTAAAAG